TCATGTTTCTCGTTTGCAGTTGGATGCAGACATTTTTCCTGCACAGCAGGCATGTCTTCAGAACCCATGCCCTTATCAGACCCTATGGTACAAGCACAAAATGCCTACTCAGCACCGCTGCTGCAACAAAGCAAGAGAGCGTTGACCGCAACCGTAATGTTTTGAAGTACTTAAGCTTGAAGGCCAAACCCGAAACCCTAAACCCTGAACCCTAAAAACTCTAAACCCTAAACCCTACAGCCACCCCAAACACTTGCGGTTCCTCCAGAGCAGGTCCGGCCAAGGACTGAAGAGCTCCGAGCAACTCCTGAAGCTGCATCCGCGAGAATGGGCTCAGCTACACAGCCCCCGGCAAACAGTATGACGAGGAGCTGAGGCTTGTCACGAAGCTTTCCGAAGTGGATTGTATTTAGATGTTCTACATGAGTTGCCTAACTCCTGAAAAAGATTCCTGGGCTCGCCGTAAGACAGTATGTCCCTGAGTCAACTTCGGGCGGTCTCCGAAAGCCAGAAGCCCTCACTCACGTGCCTGAAGATGTGGTGTCGCACCGCCCAGTGCCTGCAGAAGATACTTCACATGGGAGAGGCCTCAGAGGATCCTCTGTGTCTCGGCACTATGATGCGCAAGGGGCCCGTTCTCCTCTTGATACTCCCTGTGCTGCCAGCGCCTTACAACCCAAAAGCCCTGACTGCCCCTGGCTTCTGAAACTCTTCAAGACAGACATGCTAATTCTTGCCCTGGGCAACAAGACAGCAATTTTAAACCCCAAACCTATCGGTGGAGGGTTTTTAGGGTTTAGGGTGCCTGGAAGACCGAGCCCAGGCAACGCGTTGCACGAGCCGCATTGGGCAGCACTCCTGCAAACTTGCCAGGGTTTCGCTCCTGGGGCATAGAGTCAGGGCTCTTAATATGTGATCCGTTGTTGGGTTCCGTTTTCAAGGGGCCATATCTATATATATATATGTGTGTGTATATATATATATCACCGCATGAGAACCACTACCCAAAAAATGGAACTGACTATCCAGAATCAGCAATAAGCAGACAGGATTGCTTAAGGGTCATGGCATGCTCTAGATCTCAACCTCACTCACAGAAGCTTCTCCAGGAACGATGACTGTGTCGCCATCCTCTGAGACACATTGAACGGAAAAGGTGTTCATGAATGAAGTTGCAAGGTGCGTATGAATCAGTGACACTGTGATGACAGGGTGCCATGCAGATAATACCTATAGAAGCCTTTTCAGTCCTTGCCCGTACACACGGTACACCCATGCCTAACCTCTGTAGACAGTCTGCAGACCATCCCCACTTGAAGGTTCATGGGTAGTTGGGGTTATATGTGCGCAAGTATATTGAGTATTCCAGACAGGATTTTCGTTGCCCGGCAGATTCCCCCTGCCATAGCTACTCAGACCCCAAAACCCTAAACCCTAAACCCTGGACCCTCTTCATGTCCTGTCAAGAGGGGCGCTAAGGCCTCCACAGCATTCGCTGCTACAGGAGCAAAGCCGGAACCCAGCGCCTCCCAGGGCAGCTCTCGATACCACTCTCGTGGAGAAGAGCATATAGGCACTGCAACGTATGATTTGCTTGGCCTGTGTAGCTCTGATCCATGGTCTTTGGGAGACAGGAGAATCCATTTCGCGTAGCTTGGGGAACAAAAAAGCGTTTCTGGGCTTTGGCGGAAACTCAGGTGCTTAAAAGGCTTAACATGCCCGGATTTGGGGGATGCGCTGTGCAGCAAAAGTGCTGTGAAGAGCAATGAGTTAACAATGAACCGCCACCACTGCACGAGAAATCCCGCGTTCATCTTCTCAATTTGGTTGTAAACACTTGCAAACTTAAACTCGACACAACCGAAGACCGAATACCAACCCGACAGCCCCAGCCAACATCCCGAGTCAACCGAAGCCCCCCCCGCCCCGCCATAAGTTACCCGAAACACTGAACCCGAAACCCTAAACCCTTTGGGGTTTATCGGGGTTTAGGGCTTAGGGAACCCTAGTATGAGCCTTTGCCACATCACCAAGAGCGGCGAGAGAGGCGTAGCATGCCTCGTGTCGTAACCCTATACCCTAAACCCTAAAGCCTAAACCCTACACCCTAACCCTTTGTGTCGGTTGCCTCAAAGAGTTGACGCATTCAAACCAATCCACTAGTGGTGTCGGCTCGCTGGTCTGAGTGTACTGTGCCCCCCCCCCCCCCCTCCCCCGGCCGGAAATGGCCAACGTCAAACGAAATCGCAAGAATCCAACACTCGTCAACCGCCCGAGCGACGCGAATACGTCCACTTCAGGCTACAAGTACATACGTCAAATCCCGGACGTGCAAAAGCTAGCTTGATGCAAGAAAAGATCTTCCTAACAGATGCAACTAGTCATCATCCCTTGCATGAGGAGAAGTGCCGGTGCTTTGCTCCGCCACTGCCACATGACAGTCTCTGCGGGGTATGGCATGCACAGGGCGCCCTACGCGCTCCCTACGTGCGATCTTAAGACCCACCCAGGATGGGCGATTATACCCTATATAATCCCTTAAAAGGCCCTGTTATAGGGTTCATTATGGGGATTTTTCAGGCCCAATAGCCCATCCTGGACCACCAAACACATCTGAAATCCGGGCCTCCGGAACTTCTGGTTTGCGGATGGCCGCCAGCAGGACCGGCAACAGCTGTGTGCCCTGGCTCTTGTTTGCTCACCACTCAGCCACCAAGCAAGTTCGTCCGCTCAAGCTGCAAGACGCGTAGGTGTGCAGACGTGCCTTCACATCTGAAGTACTTGTAGCACGCGCGAAAATTGCAGATAAGATCCCGTAGCTGTCGGTCAGACATGTCGAATGCAATGTAAAAGCTTCCCGAAAGCCAGCCCGAACATGCAGACCATACCAATAAAACCAAACAAACAAACAAGTAGATAAATAAATAAATACAAAAATGAAAATAATCTAAAGATATACATGTATATATATATATATATGTCTGTATGTATGTATACAGATGTAGATATAAATCCTCGCACCGTTCAGTCATGTAAAGAAGGATCGCCAAGGTGACGGTGCCTCGAAGTTCTCAGCCAGGGCAGCTGCCAAGTGGCCGACGGCACGTAGCGCCTCCTTCGGCCCCATGCAGCTGTCAAAAATAAACAAGGCTCGGGTTCAAAGCTCATGTAGTCATGTAGTGGAGATTTGGAGTTTAAGATTTACATAAGTAAAGTGCGAACACAACATAATCAGTGCAACTGAGGGAGGCTAAAAGTCAGAAATGAGAGCACACGGAGCCTCCCGGAGGCCACAAGGCTCTTGGCGGCCCAATATATGGGCATTTCCAAACACAGGGGGGGTCCCCTTGAATCCCCTGGAAGTGAGCCCCACAAGGGTACCCCGACTTTCGTAAACCCCCATATTGCCTGCACCTGGTCACCTGATCCGGAACAGTAATGGCGGTGTAGCGCGATTCTGTTGGAGTTTGTGTTTCTTACGGGGGCGGGAAGAGGGTTTAGGCGGGGTACTATTATGGTGGATATTACTGTTCACATTATTAGTGCTGTTTTTGATATGATTCTGTAGGCAAGTTGCCCGAGGAAACAAGGCAAGAGTACGAAATGCTGCATGTACGAAATGCTGCATGTGCCGCTGAACCAGCACACTCTAATTGCAGCACCCTGACCCCAAAAAGCACAAGCTAAGAACGCGGAAAATATTAAATGCATCAGGAACCAGTCAAAAGGTTTTGATGGAAAAAACGTAACAAATCCTACTCCCGGTCTTGCTGGCTGTTTCTGGCCCACTCTTATCCGTAACAAATCGTACTCCCGGATCTTGGTGGCTCTTTCTGGCCCACTCTTATCCGTAACAAGTCGTTTTCCAGGGTCTTGGTGGCTCTTTCTGGCCCACTCTTGTCCGTAACAAAGCGTACTCCCGGGTCTTGGTGGCTTTTTCTGGCCAACTCTTAGCCGTAACAAATCGTACTCCCCGGTCTTGGTGGCTTTTTCTGGCCCACTCTTATCCGTAACAAATCGTACTCCCGGCCCACTCTTATCCGTACGATTTACAAGTCGTACTCCCGGGTCTTGGTGGCTCTTTCTTTCCCACGCTTATCCGTAACAAATCGTACTCCCGGGTCTTGGTGGCTCTTTCTGGCCCACTCTTATCCGTAACAAATCGTACTCCCGGGTCTTGGTGGCTCTTTCTGGCCCACCCTTATCCGAACAAATCGTACTCCCGGGTCTTGGTGGCTCTTTCTGGCCCACTCTTATCCGTAACAAATCGTACTCCCGGGTCTTGGTGGCTCTTTCTGGCACACCCTTATCCGAAACAAATCGTACTGTCTTGGTGGCTCTTTCTGGCCTACTCTTATCATCCATAATCAGTCGTACTCCCGGGTCTTGGTGGCTCTTTCTTCCCGAGAGCAGGTCGAGCGAAGGTACAGAGAATTGTGGCTCTGCCAGCAGATCCATGCGAAGCAAGGGAAGAGAAAAACTTGTTATGGAACGCACCAGGTGCGACGGAACGACGGAAGCTGCGACGTCCTCCTGCCATAAACCCATCCTTGTAAATGAACTCGTCATCTAAACGCTGGAACCCTAACTTTTGGACCCTAAAGCTGCTCAGAAGCTTAGTAAAAAAATCACCGACTCCCACCCCAAGACATCCAGCGTATCTCCGTGTTTGCGCACGGCCATTCACCACACTGTGCGCGTGAAAAGGGAAGCGTGCCAGATACTAAGGTTGTCTGCGAAGCTATGCCTGACAAAAGATTCTCTGCATTCGTTAAGAAGCGTTTGCATGCTCAGCGACTCAATCGCGAGGGTAACTTGAACCCACAACTCACAGCCTGTGAAGATAATACGGCCATTCTGAAGCATCTTGTCAGGTCTCGGAGGAAAGACCTAGTTGCTGAGTAATTGCCCTGGGCCAAAAAAGTTGGCGGCAACCTTTCAATTATCGTATGGGATTATATATACATACCCCAAAAGGTAAAAGGTTACCTACTCAGCTACTAAGAATATTGGCTGCATTGGCTGCATTCCTCCTCGCCGGCTGCGCCATGTCGGGCAAGAAGCGCAGCAACTGCTGCGGCACGGCCCTGGACCTCGGCTTCGGCATGCGGCTGGTCCTCTTGGGAGGTGCGGTACGGAGCTGCCAGAAGAGCTTGGGTTTAGGGTTTAGGGTTTAGGGTTTAGGATTTAGGGTTTAGGGTTTAGGGTTTAGGGGTTAGGGGTTAGGGTCACTGACCCCAGAAACGTTGCTGTGCTGGCCGCCACGTCGCTCGTGGACCCAGGCGAACAATGAGCACTCGCAGGCAGCAAAACAAGCCTCGGTGCAAAAGCCCGAAACCATCTCCTTTTCCTGCACCACACAAGGCTGAATGTTTTGGGTTTAGGGTTTAGGGTTTAGGGTTTAGGTCTCTTTCCCGAGGCCTGTGCTGCTCACTGCAGCCCCACCTGCAGGATGAACCTCTGCCTGCCAGGAAAAAAGGGCCATTTCGCTGTGCTCCCGTCGCTTCGGTTGATCCTGCCTCTGGGGTTGTTCCGACTGCTCCCAAATGTGGTGCCGGTGACTCTGTTGTTGTGTTTTCTTCAGTGCGAGAGCTTCTGTGTAAAAGCAATTACGAAATTGAGGACAAACCTGTGCAAAAGTACCTGGAATTCCTAAACTTTGTCATGCACCGGCAACCATGACACGCACAGGCAGCACTTTTCCGACTCCGTCGCAAGATGCAGCATGTTGCCTTATTGCGCCAATTTCCTGAGGAATAAATCAACTTCTGCACACACGTCACACCACAAAACTACAGGACCGGGGACGCCAATGTCAATTGGTCCGTCTGCCTGCCGCAACAAGTCGTCCAGCAGCAGCTCCATCTGTGGAAGGCAATCCTGCGAGCCGGTAGCCTATGATATTGTCAATGCGTGTATGCAAATATGTATATATGTACACACACGTATGCACATACTGTTACTACGCATGTTCTATTCATATTCATATTATTATTATATTATACTATATTATAAACGTCTGCAAGTTGTGGCAACCTTGCCACGACCGATGAGGGTCGAGAAGCACTCATTGGTGCAATTCTTTGGGGGTTCCGGGCGCTGAGCACGGGAAGCAAAAGCCCGACTGTCACCCTAAACAACCCTAAACCCTATACCCTTTTCCCTAAATCGACCCCGAACCCTAAGCCCTTAAGCGTTTTCGTCCCTCGAAACCCCTAAGCCCATGAAGGCCCCCCAAAGCGCCGAGCACTCCTCAGAGGCTCGGCCCAGCAGCTCAGTTAAGCAGCCTCTGATTGCACGGCTATGGCTTGAATTGGGCGATGTTTTTGACAAAAGTAGGGTTTAGAATTTAGGGTTTAGGATTTGGAATGTCCTTCTTGATAGCTGGCGTGAACTGGGGACCTGAAGTCTTTTGGGGGTCTACTGGACGCGAGAGCTGAAGGGGGTCCCAGACCTTAAGTTTGAACGCTGTCTGGCTTAGCGTTCCGCATACGCTTGTTCACGGGTGGGTTCATCCCTGAACAGACAAAGCCCCGACGTCTTTTCAGAAGCCGATCGGTCAAGCTGCCACCGTTTCACCTGCCACTCGGCAGTTTCACATGCCAAACTCCGTCAAAACCCAAACTCAAACCGGCTACAAGTTGACGGTCTACCGCCTATCCTGCCTCTGCCCCAATTTCCAAAGCAAAACATCTCAACAAAAATGTATAAAAAACATATATAATTATGTACATCTATATATATATATATATAAATATAAAAATACATATATATATATATACATACTTACATATGTATGTACATATATACATACATGTATTGCACGCTCCCAAGTATGAAGGCTCAATCCTCAAGTCCCCTGAGAGCCGAGGAGCTCAGCAGCGCATGCTGCGTCCGACTTTCTGGGCGCGCCGCCCGCGCCCCCGCAAGCAAGGCCTCCTAGGTTTGGGAGTTTTTGGGCTTTCAGGGCTTTAGGGTTTGGGGTTTTAGGGTTTTACCGCTAATAGGGTGTTAGGGACAATTTTAGGGCTCATAGGGTTTAGGGTTATATATAGGGGGATCAAGGATTTTCAGGTCCTCTACGGCTTCTGAATCAGGTCCTCTACGGCTTCCATGGGCTGTACGGGGCTTAGAGCTTCGATAGGCTTGTTGAATGAGGTTTACGATCTGTTTACGAGTGTTCCACTGTGTTGTATACTTGATGGCTACACATGGCCGGCAGTAGGGCTGATCGGCTTCAGAAAGCATCGGCCCCTGGACATGTCGAACCAAGAGACAAGCACCACGCCGAAGGGAGCCGGCTCAAGGACAGCAGCCTTCGAAAGCTGCAGACTTTAGGGTTTAGGGTTTAGGGCAGACTTCAAGCAGGTTCAGTGCTTACGTGGTCACAAGGATTTGGGATGGTTAGCATGATTTGGAGGTTTACGACAATTGACCCCCCCCCAAAAAAAAAACAAAAAACGAATAATCGGATTCCCCTATAATCAGGACCCGACAACGTACCACCTTTTATAGTAAACTCCTTTTCAGGACGGCTTAGAGAAAATTCCGCACTCAGGCAAGCGATCATTTTCCGGACCGGACCTGTTGGTCGACGAGGCCATCCAGGCAGTAGCCTATAGCAGATGTTCGGGCTTAGGGTTTAGGGTCTAGGGTTTAAGATTCAGGGTTTAGGGTTTAGGGATGAGTTGGGGTCTACATTAGGGGTCAATGATTTTCGTAAACCCCCACTTCTCTGCGACATGCGCACAACTTTCATGACTCTATGATACAGGACTTCACCGATGTTATAGCTGCTGCATTTGGCACCGTAGGCTGCACATTGGACTCCGACAAAATATAATATAATATAATACAATAGATAACAATAATAATCATTATCATAATCATAGTCATAGTCATAATCATCATAATAATAATCATAGTGATAATAAAAAATAAACAATAAACAATAAACAAAAAAATAATAAATAATAAATGATAAATAATAAATGATAAATAAATAATAAATAATAAATCATAAATGATAAATCATAAATAATAACTAATAAATAATAAATAATAAACAATAAATAATAAACAAATAATACATAATAAATAATAAATAATAAATAATAAATAATAAACAATAAATAATAAATAAATAATACATAATAAATAATAAATAATAAATAGTAAATGATAAATAAGAAATAATAACCAATAATAAATGAAAATAATAATAATAATAGTAATAATAATAATGATAATAATAATAATTATTATGTCTAGCCTTCAGAAACAATCGGTGTGGAAGCTTCCCAGAGACACGATGCCTTACAAAAAGCAAAGAACACCACAAAGGCACCTGCCCTGTGCTGTAATAATGATAGCAAGAATAACAAAAAACAAAACCAATAATAACAATAATAAGAAGAAGAATAATAATAGAGGCCACGGGGCAGAGCTCCTCCGCAAGGCCCGCCTCCGTTCGCAGCCGCTGCAGCGAAGTCTCGAACAGTGCCACCTGCCGGGCTATTTTCATGTTGAGCGGCTTTTGCGGCCGGTTCAGCTTTATAGGGCCTAGAGTTAGGGCATTCAGGGTGGCCTTGAGGTTGGTGGTTTGGGAGTTCGAGGCTGCGGGGTGCGGAGTTGCGGGTCGTGAAACTAGAGCTGTGTTTGTTCGAGTCTTGGAGCGTTTTGGAGAGATCGACCATCTTTGCACTGTTTGACGGGTGCCGTGGGGAGAGAGCAGTATAGGATTTTGCTCAGGCTTTCCCATGGGAACTGCGAAAAGGGACCCCAAAATCAACTGGTCGCGGCAGTGTTGCCACAATGTTTGAAAATGAGCACAGAAAGATCCAGAAAGTAAATTCTCCTGGCAATCGGGTTGGTAGGGGTGCCAGGGAAAGAGGCCTCCAGCTTAACCAAGAGGCCCTCGGCCTGAGAAACGCCAAGGCCGCCAAGGTCGTAAGATTTGGGGAAATTGAAGAGTTGTCCAATACAGTCAGCGCTCAGTCCCGGACGTCACGTACAACGTCCAAGCATAAGAGTAAATCCTTGAGTTTTTTGGGCCTCAAGCACGAGGGTTGGCATGAGCGATATGCCCCAAAGAAGCAAACTTTTCTCCATAGGCTCCATGGTCCATACATGCAGCCTTCATATTTGCAAAACGGATCCAGCGGGTAGCTGCTGTGAACAAATGTTCCTGGCTTTGCTAGTGGTGCTCGGCGATGGAGCTACCGAACAGAAAGTACCAAGGTCCTATCACCAAAGCCTAGACGTTGACATAATTTGCCTGACAAAGTAAAGTCGGACGGGTCGTACAAAAGACATGTTGTTTTCTTCCCACGCGAGAGTGGAAAGGCTTGCCTTCGTTTCTAAGCGAAACGCGACATTGATAGTTTCAGTGGGTTCAAAGTGGACCTGCAGCAGGTGAGGACCTCTGTCAAGGATTTTTGTGTGGAGTTTGAGGCATATACCGGCCTTTCCGCGACCGAAACGCAACAGGACACGCACTGGCGCTGATGACATGTGAAAGGACTTGCTGGGAATTCGCATCCCTTTCAACTAAGCCCAAGTCTTGGGCATGACTCGGTTCACTGCAAAAGAAAAGACGCTTCGCTTGCAAGCAAGCACTACCCTTCATGCAGCCGGCGCCTGAGCTTCATCGGGCACAGATCCTCTGCAAGAGCACTCATTTTCAAACTCCTATACACCCAAAGCTTCTAGGCAATTTACAGAGCAACAATGCCTCAAGCACATCAAGAGTTTAGGAAGGTTTCGCGCCGACGTCTACGCTGCCCTCTGGCCGCATTGCAGTCCTGAGGAGGCCCTGTCCGGTTTTTCTCGAACCCTCAACAAACCCTAAACCCTAAACCCCAAAGCCTAAACCCCAAACCCTAAACCCCAAACCCTAAACCGGGGTCCTGGGTTCTTGTCCAGAACTCGCCCCAGCCTGAGCCGGCGCGTGGGATTTGAGAATGGGCTTGCAATCGCTGTTGGTCTTTATTGCCCGAAGGGTCCATGTACCTCATTATCATACACTTGGGCCCTGAATCCCTAAATACGAGGTACTTTAAGGCCCAAGTATTCCCTATTTAGGTACATGGACCCGTAGGGTAATGGGGGGAAATTTTGCACACGCTGGTGCTTCGGCTTGGCCGTTGCATCTAAAAAAGCGCATATACTCAGAGCGAACTCCCGAATCAAACCCTCTCACCCTTTGAACACCCAAAGCCTAAACCCTAAACCGTCCTGAACCCTAAACCCTAAACCTCTCAGCCCCAAGACCAAGCAAGGGGCGTCCAGGCTGCGGCAGAAGCTTCCGGCAGGGACTGGCTTCTCAGCCCCTGGTGTGGCCGTGTGTCCATTTGTGTCACGTGTTAGCTCGGGACGTGTGCAACTATTTGGGTTGTTCCCCCTTATACTGACAGTCCTGAATAGGGATTATCATAAAGGGGTACTATAATCCCTACAAAGGACTGTTAGTATAAGGGGGAACATCCCAAGCACCTATGCTTGATCAACAAATGGAAGTCTGTGCCAACTTCCGGGCCGAAGCAACTGGACGGGTTGTCCTACTTCAATTTGTGTACAGCGTCCGAAGACGCCGAGGAAATTCCCTTTAGCCTGCACGTTGAAGCCTGAACTGTCTTGAACCCTTGCCCGCTGATCTCGACTTCCCAAAGCAATAGGTTTGAGCAGCTAAGCTGCCAGACTTCCTAAGCCCTAACCAACTCAAGACGCAGCCTTCTGCAGGAACCTTATCCCATCCAAGATCCTTACCTTTCCAGGCTGATGCTCACCACTCCCCCAACCCTCCCCCCTCCCCCCTAGTACCCAGAAGCCGAATCAAGGCCTCCATCAGCCTCGGCAGGGCAGAAGCCACCAAGGGCCGCAAGGCCTGTGTGGAATTGCGGAATTGCGGAATAGAGCTGCCGCTCCATCGGAGGCCGACCGAATTCACATGCATGGTGCCTGCCGCGATGCATGTTGGGTTGAACCTGCCTTCTATGATGGCCATGCTTCCCAGTGGGTTCCCAAACTCCACAGAAGGCCACCCATCCCAACATGAACGTCTCCGAAAACGAACCTGGAGCAAAGTTCTTCCCAAAAAAGGCCGCGTAAGAGAAATCAACTCAAGAGTCCGCGATCAGTTCTCGAACCGACATAAACATTCAACCTCTCTAAACCCTAAACCCAAAACCCTAAACCCTAAACCCCAAAAAATCTTGCAACCCACATGCCGGTGCCCACCTGGGCGCTCGGACCATCCTGCGCGGAATGGCAATCCCAAACCCCCTGACGCCTGGAGTAGCGGAAGCCCTTTTGACTTAGCAAGTAGGGCTACTAAGGTGGGTTATGGGGGTTTCTAGGGGATACTAAGTAGACTTGCTAAGTCAAAAGGGCTTCCAAGTAGCCCAAAGGCAGAGGAAAGGGCGTACCATCAGAGCCCTGGAGAAACAGGAAATTCCGAGTATTCTGGGGCTTGCGGCAAACTTGCTTGTGCCCTGCTCATCCTTCGCTTGAAGGCTCCCGCACACACATGCCCAAACCCCATGCAACGCATCGTCAAGAGCAAGAACAAACAACACCAAACACCTCAACCACTATGCCTATGCAGCGAGAACCCCCAAAGCAACATCTGAGCACCCTAAACCCTAAACCCTAAACCCTAAACCCTAAAGTTCCAAACCAACCCGGCCTGGAGTGCACCGAAAGCGAGCAAGGCTGACCGCCGTTGCCACTCGTCCTGGCAACGCTGGGCATATGGGCGGCAAGGGTTCCAACTCGGTGCAAGATGCCACGTAGTTGATCAACACGGAAGCCATATGGGAGTTGTCGAAAATAAGGGACCCCGAAATGTACCCCCAAATAGTAGCACTCTCTCATAAGAAGGACGTCGATAAGGTACCGAGATTATCGGAAAACCCAATCTAAACCTCAGGCTTGAACCTGAGCTCTAAACCCTGAACCCTGAACCCTAAACCCTAAACCCTAAGCCCTCAAAGCTGTCCTGGGAAGCCATGGCCGCCGAGGCAAAGGGCAGGGTGAGCCCGACACAGGCATCCCCCGTGACCTGTAACGCTGCTCAAGTGGTTTGGGGTTTAGGGTTTAGGGCTTGGGGTTTAGGATTAGGGTTTAGGGTTTACGGAAAGTCCGCTACAAGATGAGCTCCTTTTCCATCCAGGTTGAGTGCTTCTAATTCTGGGGCTGCAGGTGGAAGAATGCCGGCTGGGGGCTCATCCAGGCGACTCGGCTTCAGCGGCTTCTTGCCGGTCAATTCCCCAATTTCCGCGAAGCCGCTAGGCCCCTTAGCCTTCTTTCTATAACATCACCTCTGCAGGCCCCCTGAGTCCTCAAACCAACCACCCCAAACATCCCCTGAGCCCTCAGAACCCTGCATAGCTGCAAAGGTTTAGGGCTTAGGCTTTAGGGCTGAGGGTTTAGGGTTTAGGGCTAAGGGTCTATAGGGTTTAGGGCTAAGGGTTTAGGGTTTAAGGCTTTATAAGGTTTAGGGCTAAGGGTTTAGGGGGCTCAGGGGGTTTAGGGATGCTGGCAGCATGAAACAAACTCTGGGCCTTGGCCACCGTCATGACCGCGCCACAGGCCGCCTCCTGGACTGGCGAGGCATCATCGTCTGGATCCCAGGAACCTTGAGAGGAGGCTTATAAGGAGCGCATATATGTATATAATATCTTGATATATATTTCTATCTATAGATGAATAATTATATATATATTATATATGTACGCCTTGGGGCTTAGGGTTCAGGGTTTTCAAGGGAACCCCCCGCCCCCCCTCCTTGTTTAGGGGAGGGGATGCCCAAAAAAGAGGCTCTTCTACCGCAAGACCCATGATACAAAATCGATGCTTAGTGAGGCTTACTGTATGTAGGGCCAGTAAGGCTTGAGGAGGCTTGGGGCACCTCAGTGAGTCTGAGCGAAGGCGCCATTCTTTGATGGCCACTCAAATCCCTATTTGCGGGGGGCCGGGCCTTGGAGCACATTCGGGTTTCCGGACGCGGGGCTGCAGAGTGGTTGAATTCTGGCCTTCGCTAATGCGCAGGTGTGTGCTCTCAAGGTGCATAGCTGATCCCTTCATTGCTGGACTTGCTCAAAAAGGAACCGGAACCTACGATCCAATCTCAAAAGCCCTGAAATTCTGAGGCCGCGGGCTCTTTTGATAGCTGGGTGCCCTTGCCTGGAGAGCCTGAGGGTTCGTTTTTTTTTTTTTGAAAGCGAGTCGGACTCTTGCATATTGCCTCCATTCAGGGTTCCTTGTTCACGGCTTAAGCTTTGGAGAATGTTTGGATGCAAGTCCAGGGCCTTGCTGCTTCGGGTACAGTAGCCTCTCGGAAATAGTCGGATGCCCCAAAGATATCGGCCGCGGGTTTGGAGCCCTTTTTTTAAGGGTTTCCCATGTAAACCATGGCGCTGCGCCCTTTATGGCTGGTAGCATCTGAAGTTGTTCTCAACACTTTTTTCCAACAAGTACGAAGCAGCATTGCATCAGGACTGCATCAGGATTGCATCCGACAGCTACTTGAAGATCGAAGCCACCTTGTGAGGGAGCCGAATGATCGCCCGGAAGCTCAGGGAAGGACATACGGACGCTGAGAGCTTTTTTCCCCCAACCTCAGATCCCTTCTGCGCCTGGAGCAGGAGAGGCATCAGAGTGGGCAAAGCCTGCTGCACCAGACCTGCTGTATCAGACGCAGCTGAGGACAAACACAATTTGCTGGGAGGGGCTCCTGGGGGCTCCTGCTTGCGAGGGTGTGTCGGGCACTCCTCTCAGATCAGCATCCCCAGCCCTGCCGCAAAAAAGCGTCGAAGCTTGTCTCTACCCATCTCCACACGGCCACCTCCTTCTGCCAATTCAAGGCTGGGCACAAACCCAAAGCCCCGACCTCTGCACTGCCCACTTGGCTTGCCATCCAGCAAATACAACTCGTAGGCGGCCAGCGTCTCCTTGGCGAAAAGATGTGGGCATTTCTCAAAATAGGGGTACCGTTTGTGTACCCCAAATAGAATAGAAGCCCCTTTAAGGCTTCCCCAAAAAGGGTACCCCTGTTTTCATCAACCCCCATGTCACTGAGCTGCCATCAAAGAGGCTAAGAGATGAGTAGCCATCGACATAGGGGACCCCTAATCTGGACAATGGTAGGATTCCCTCACAAACAGGACCCCAATAACGCACCCAAATTCGGAGGCCCTCAGCTGAGCTAAGTCTCAAATTTGCTGTTAGTTAGTAGGGAACGAGGGAATGAGCTACCCTATATGCCCCTACATATACCCTTTAAGGGATCGTATAGGGTCATTCCCTCATTCCCTACTAACCAACAGTCAGAAATAAACCCTAAACCCTAAACCCTAAACCCTAAACCCTAAACCCTAAACCCCCCCAGCCAAGTGAAGTCACCAAACAGTCAGCCAAAGTGCCCAGAGCTCTATGGCCTGCACGCGCGAGGCCTCGCCATCTGCGTGGAGGGCGCCATGGCACAGCTCCACCATCCTCGGGTTGAGAACAGGGTTTAGGGTATAGGGTTTAGGGTTTAGGGTTTGGGGTTTGGGGTTTGGGGTTTGGGGTTTAGGGTTTAGGGTTTGGGGGGCCGGGGGGGCAGGTTTTAATTGCGCTGCGCAGTTGGTATGTCTGCTTGGAAGGTATTTGGCTTCCCCAACCCCCAAAAACCTACTAGTAGAACCCTAAAACGCTAAAACCAGAAACCCTAAAACCCAAAACCCAAAATCCCAAACCCTAAGCCCTAAACCCTAAATCCTAAACCCTAAACCCCAAACAAGCCAAAGGCCTGCTCAGCAAAGGTTCCGCTGCAGGTCGGGAGCCTGCAGGGCCTCGTAACACTCGCAGGCGCAGACGCCCAACAGACCTGGGGGGGGGGGTTTAGGGTTTAGGGTTTAGGGTTTAGGGTTTAGGGTTTAGGGTTTAGGGTTTAGGGTTTAGGGGGAATCGGGTAATTTGTATCCTCCATCTAGGTCATAGAGTTTCCTGGGGAAGAAGAACCACTACTAGGACTCCCGACGGACATGTATACAACCTTCTAGTCAGTCCAGGAATTCTGCCTGGCTGGAACGAGTTGTGTTGACAAGGCAGCTTGAGAGCTACCAGTACTTCGCAAACAGGCATGTTTACGTGCGACATTCTTACTCGGTGACGGTTCCACAGAGCCTGAAGCAGACACACCTTTCGGCCCTGCATGTGGCGAACGCGCCACCGTACTTGAAGTAACCCGTCCACTTGCCTCCACTCCCTGGCCACCAAGTAGCGCAGCTCTGCTTCACCAGTGCCAGCCACCAGGACGGCAGCCAAAACCTGCACAAATCGGCTTTCGAGAGGAAACCCTGCAGCACGTAACTAGGGCAGTGGGACAGTGAAGCTTAGGGGCTCCGTGGTAAGAGTCTTTTTGCAAAGAGACCAGCCCGCGGCTTTCTCGCGGAACTGCTTTGGGATCGGCGAGAAGTTGCATGTGACCACACCAAATGCCACCAAAGTCTTATGAATGCTTTGAAGGGTCGAAGACCCCTGAAGCCCTCGAAATCCTGCTGACGCCGAAGAAAAGCAAAACAGAACAATTATTTTACTTCGAATATCCCCACCCTCTCTTGGTAGAGATACTCTGGGGTTGGGCACTCCAGGGAGACTCTGGGGCTGGGCACTCCGGGGTTGGGCACCCCAGAGAGACTCTGGGGTTGGAGCACTCCATGGAGACTCTGGGGTTGGGCACTCCGGAGACACTCTGGGGTTGGGCACTCCAGGGAGACTCTGGGGTTGCGCACTCCAGGGAGACTCTGGGGTTGGGCACTCCAAGAACACTCTAGAGTGGGGCACTCCAGGGACATTTGGGGTTGGGCACTCCAGGGATGAGCGAGGAGTAGACTGGGCGAGGAGAAGAGTTCCGGGCGAGGAGAAGAGTTGAGTTAAAAATCTAACAACCCCACACCGAGGGTGGGGAACAAAAACAAACCCCTGTTCTGACCTAGATCAATCCATTACAACAACATTTTCCGATGACATGAGGTAATGCCATCTATGATCCTAAGGCCCCAAACTCCTACTAGTGTGTTCCCAGATTAAACATTCGCAACGGCGGAGGGCAGCCTGGCCCACCGAGTCCTTTGCTGCCCCGAGCATTGGGACAAGTGAGCACAGAGCCTCCAAGGGAAGCAGACCAGATGAGATGAAGCGGCTTCTGCTCGGTTGTTTGCATTCTTCTGGGAGTCTTCTGGGTGAAGGCATTGGAGTTTGAATGTGTTGAGTTCTAAAACGCCCACAAGGCGTCCCACAAGGCGTCATTCCATTCTGAAAAGATGAATCTGTGATGGAAGCGCACATCATGTGGCAAAATGGGTTCGCGTGTTCGGAGGCCGTTTCAGATTGCGGGCAAGGTCCGCCAGGCCCGCGAGCTTCACTGGGTGTCAGGTTGGGGCTTGCACTCCATGCCAGCACTTAAGCATGTGTGAACACCGGAATTTAATTATTCAACTCAAAGAAGCCCCACTGAGTCCATCATCAACGTCACCCCCGGCGATCTCCCGTCTACGGTGAGTACGCCGCCTCCGCTGCTGCATCACGCAGCGACACCGGGTGCATGGGCGAGAGGAAGCTCACGACTGCCGCGACTGCCTAAACAGCGAAGGGCTCACTGCAAACTTCGCAAGAAATGGGGTCTCAGGCATGTGCTTCTATATCAGATCAAGCCACTTTTTACTGCACAAGCCTGATCCACATGAACATTGATTCGCCAAGTAGCCTTAAACCCTCATTCCTAAACCCCCCCAAATACAGAGAACAGTCCACTGGGAGGCCGCAGCCTTGTGCAGGGCTCCGCCCAATGATATTGTTGTTCAGTGATGTTTCTTGGTCAAGCATTATGTTAATTGCAATTCTAATTTGATTTTGTTGTCACATGTGTACATATTGTTACTTTATATGAGACACATACTACACATATTTCACATTTTTCTATTCATTTACATTTTCCTCCGCCAGATTTACAACCCCACAACTCGTTTCAGTCACGCATGTTCATTGTCATATTTTGCTTCACATGAATTGTCATCAACCATATCATTTTAATCATTCGACTTACAGGTAGCTACAGGATGGGTTTTTGGGTGCTTGGGGTTTAGGATATAGGGCTCTTACTGGCTCCTGCGGGTATGGTGTTAGTGATATTGTAATGTTGTATGCTTATCTTTAAACTACTACTTTGTTGCATTCTCACCATATGGTGCTACATGATTGCATTAATAATCAGCACATTTATACATTGACACAGTATGACATTGTTATACTATTTTCTTACTAGCTTATTGCAGTACTAGATTGTATCACTTGATATGTTCCTATTTTATTGAATTACATATTTCTATATTAAGATATTGCTTTATCAATATGCAGTAACTGTCTTATTCACAATTCATTCATGTATCTTTTAACTGATTGCTATGATCTTGATATATTCTTATAGTACTCATTATCTTGCTATCCTGTTGTCTTGTTCTTGTGTTATCTTCTTGTCTGTTGTGTACGTTTGTTATACCATTGTAGTTGTGTATTGCTTCATGTTAAGCGTGCATGATCATACGACTATACGATCTTATACTCATATGTTACGAAACTATCATACGATTACATTTTTTACATTTTCACAATTTCACATGCTTACATTTGCATATGATCATGTTCTGATTTCAGTATATGATTATGCCCTTTTGTTTTTGTGTTAACATATTGTCTACCTTCGTTGCCAGACGAGAACTCCCACTGTCTGGCCAGGCTGCGCATCACTGTTCTTGTGATACTAAACCCTAAACCCTAAACCCTAAACCTTAAACCCTAAACCCTAAACCCTAAACCTTAAACCCTAAACCCTAAAGCCTAAACCCACCTGGTCCACCACTGCTCTAGAAGCTTCGGCCTTGGCCAGCTCAGCCGCACCATCCGGCTGCACACCTGCAACTCTGGGACTACAGTAAGGGTTTAGGGTAGTTTCATAATCCCTTGGTATGGGCCCTTAAAAAGGGGACCCCTTACATACCCCTGTAGAGAGGTTACAGTAAGCTCCAAAAACTCGGAACAGCCTCATCCCCATACTCCAACAGGTATACTCAAGGGAATTCCAGCTCTCATCCTCCCCAAACCATGTTCCAACTTGCTGGAGTTTTACGACATGCCAAGTGTGGACTTGGGGGCGCTGTAGGTAAAGGGAATGAAAACCACGGTTAAGACTCCTGCAAGAACGTACGAGCTTGTCCTAAGCTGCACACCACGTCAACTTCGCTGAATGCCCGAACCGGCGAAAAGACATCCCTCAGATGCTTAAGGCAACTGCAAGCAGATGTCATGAGAGGCCCTAGCATTAAAGGAAATGTTTGGAGCTTTGCTCTGCAGGTCCTTGCGTTAACCTTCAAGATTGGTTTACCTCGAAACCTACACGATCCAGAGCTTGGAACTGGGCGAATAACGGAAACCCTCACCGCATGGGTCCGCGAAAGTTGCAATTGTAACTTCTTTCCGCGAAGAAGTTGATTTCGGTTTGGGGGGTGGGGGGGGGGGGTTAGGGAGTTTAGATGAATGAATATAGTCAACAGGGCCTGCACCAGAGCTCTGCCAGAGCTCCGCAATCTGGCCGAAGCACGAGACAAGCTCCGGCGTCGCGCCTGCAACCAGGAGTTTAGGGTTTAGGGTTTAGGGTTTAGGGTTTAGGGTTTAGGGTTTAGGGTTTAGGGTTTAGGGTTTAGGGGTCGAGGGTCTAGGGTCTAGGGCACATCGGGAGTGCTGAGAGGCCCAGATCGCTCGTTTTGGATTGTCCTCTTCTTGATCGGGCCTGCTTCGTTCTCCAAAGCCATTCGGTGTAGGTCTTGGGACTTTGCGTCTGCAAGCTTCCGAGATTTCGTGACGAGTTCAAGTTCTGGAGGTAGTCTTGTATTAGCATTGCGAGAGTGGCCGAAGCCCACCGCAGCAGCAAGATCACTCCGGAAAGCTACACCCAGCCTGGTGGGCGACACAGGGCAAGGAGCTGTGGGCCGATTGAGGGCCAGCCGCCTGGAACCCGTGCAATCTCGATTCCCAGGGATGCTTTTCCAAAGTCATGGAACGTAGCAGGACGGCGAGGTTGCAACATTTGCGCCCAAAAAGACCTCTTGCGGTAGGCGCCCTGTTTGCTTTCGTGGGAGGACGAGTTGTGATTTTGTTGTTTGACCGTGTGAGGTTTTTTTGGACAGCATGCCTGAGGTTGCTGAGGCCCTGATGCAAGTATCACTTTTGCCAACTGTACAAATTCAAAGTAACTCCTGTTGACTTAGCCTCGGCTCTCAAATTGGCGTTTCCGAAAATAGGGGTCCCCTTTTGGGGGTGGGGGGGGGGGGGGGGGCCCTTTAAGGGGGGGGGTCCCTTTAAGGGGATTTTGTTCTATTTGGGGTATAAAAGGGGTACCCCTATTTTGGTACATGCCCAAGTGCCACCGGGAAACTGCAGGCCAGCTTGGCTGCACAGAGCCTGCGCAAGTCGAAAGGGGCGGTCGACTTACTAACCCATTGCAAGTGTACTTATAACCCACTTTAAGGCCCCTGTATGGTTATCATTGGGTTGCAAGTACAGTGGATAATAAGTACCCTGAACCTCCAAGTATGTATGCTGAAGCCGAGGCCCATCTGAGATTTCCAAAGTCTGCAGTCCGAACACCAACGTTTTTCATGCAGCCTTCTCCGAGGCGCTCAGTTTGACAGGACAGTGCAACCGTCTTCCTTCCTGCAGCACGGGGCACGCGGCTCCACGACGAAGTGCTGCGTCGTCGGGGTCAGCCAAAGCCTGTCCAAAGATTTCATGCTTAATACACCGGAGTTTCAACATGACATCCAGAGGTAATTCCTGTTCGTCTATGCCTAGATTTGGCCTGCATGGAGTGTTGGCTACGTTTAGCCGAAGTATTGCGAACCCCACAAAACATCACCAGGTCATATATGGACTCTTTGGCGAGTGCCTGCTCTTTGCGTGAGGAGTTCTTTGATTTCTCGTTCCTTTTGGCAAAGCCCTGTCATTTGTCTTGCTGAGCTTTTCCATGCCTCTTCTTTGAGGAAAGTCGTCTTATTCGACCGTGTTGTTTCGGGCCCCATGCAGCTGCCCGGTCTGCGAAGTTTTCAGTTAATGTTGGACTGGCTTTAGTGCAAGTAGGGTCTACCATCACAAGTTTCGAACATTTATTCTGCGAACCGAGTTTGTTCAGGGTACCCGCTATTATCACAAGTTTTTTCCGGACGTTTTTTTTTTTTTGTGAGGGTTTGTGCTTGGGTCAAGGGCTTACGTAGTAAGGCTTGAGGCCTTGAGAGTCTTGGGCTCCAGGAATCCTAAAAAGCCAGAGCGCGGAGAATCCAGAAATATAAGCCCGGCCAGTTCCATGTAAAGCCTTACGGAAATTCACTACGAAACGAGGCCCCAAACAAATTTGGTGATAGGGGTAGCCCACGGGCCGGCCGGGCTGCCTTTAGTAAGTTTGTCTGGCTACCCTCTATAATACCATTTTTTCGGATGACTTTTTTAAAGGGTTTGTGTTTAGGGTCAAGGGCTTACGCAGTAAGGCTTGAGGCCCTGAGGGCCTTGGGCTCCAGGAATCTCAAAGGCTGGGAAGCTTCAGGCCATGAGGTCCTGAAAACTTGAGGCCCTGAGGGCGGTTCCCCCACCCCCCGCCCCCCCATTTGTTTGGGGGGGTTGCCGCGCCATGCGTTTATAGAGGGTCCCAAATTTGTTTGGGGGGGGGGGGGGGGGGGGGGGGGGGGGGGGGCGCCCCCATACTACAGACAGTGCAACATTAAGGCCCGCCGCCTGGTTAGGTGTAGACTTCCATTCACACGTCGCAGAAAACCCGACCCGACCGTGTGGAACAGACCAACTTTCCTTGCAACCCGCTGGGCAGGCAATCTGCCGTCCATGTGACGGGAACCATCTGAAGGGCTTGTTCACACACTCACACACACTTCACAATAGCTTCGCGCGACGCAATTTACATGGTCCCTTTCCATCTGGGCCCTTTACTAAAAAGGGGACCCCTTGAAAACCCCTTATATATACCCGATAACACCCAAGGGCCCTTACTTCAGAAACCTTTAAGGGAAGGTCAGGGACCATATTAAGGGGCCATAACTACCCGAAGACCAACCCACGCACACGCCTCCTTGGGCTCGCGGCCGCCACAACGGTTTAGGGTTTAGGGTTTAGGGTTTAGGGTTTAGGGTTTAGGGTTTAGGGTTTAGGGTTTAGGGTTTAGGGTTTAGGGTTTAGGGTTTAGGGTTTAGGGACTTACCACCCTGCTTTTGCCATTCTGCGAGTTCGCTGTCTTTCTCAGGGCCTTGCAACTTGGCACCATCGAGCTTTTTGGGAGTTGCCACCCCGCACTTTTGTTGAACACCTTACAAACGCACCCCCAAACATCAAACCCTATACAATGTACGTATATATATATATATATATATATATATGGGAAGCGAATGGACTGTGGGTACAACGCTAAATATATACATACATATACGTATATAAATAAAAAAACACGTAAATATGTAAATATAGAAAGCATGCAGACTTTTTAACATGTGTATATATTTCTATGTCTATTTATCTATTTATTCACTGAGTACAGCGCCTGCAGCACCGGACCCGGCAAAGACACCTCCTGGCCAGGCACTGGCAGCCTCGGCATGGGTCTGATAGATGCAGCCAGGGTTTAGGGTTTAGGGTTTAGGGTTTAGGGTTTAGGGTTTAGGGTTTAGGGTTTAGGGTTTAGGGTTTAGGGTTTAGGGTTTAGGGGCAGTGAAACGCGCCAGTAGCGAATACTGGCAACTGACGACGCAGCACCAGTTGTCATGCTGCAGTTGGCCTTGAAATCTCCACACACAGGGTGTAAACTCTGAAGAGGTTTGCCATATTCAGGGTAATTAAGAGGGAGTACGCCACACAGGGCGCGCCCAGCTGCTGACCATGATTGTTTCTGGATGCCCGCTCGCATTTTGCACAACAAGCGTACTCTCGCCTGGGCGCGCGCGTAGCCGCGCTCGCCTGTCATATCTTTCTTACTTCGAATCTGGGCTCACAAAACGCGAAATGGTTCTCGCTTCTGGACGTCCGGGTCACAAAATGCGGAAGTGTCATCACTTTTGGACTTCTAACTTCGCGAAATGCAAAATTCTCATCGCCTTTTGGGCATCGGGGACATGCTTGACTCACATGGTCTCTCGCTGTTTGTGGTCTATGCTGGCAGAATACTGGCCAAATGGCAGACACAACAGCTGAGGCGCGTGTTCTTCAGAAGGAGTGCCGCCAGCTGGCGTGCCTGCGGGCAAGCAACAGTCACGAACCACATGATACGAACTGCGTAATCTACAAATATTAATTATATATGTATACACGCACACACACATATATGTATATATATATATATTATATTTATTTATTTATATTTATATCATATATACATATATACGTATACACATATACACATGTATACACATATACATATGTGCATATATACATATTTACATATTTACATGTGTATATATATATGTATACAAAAAGATTATGTGAGATATTACTCTCTTGCAAGATCGGATCTTCACACTTACCCGTGAGCCATGAGCCTGGGGCAGTTGGCCCACATCGCACATGGTCGCCGCACAGGAAGCAGCGAAGCTGGCCTCGTGCAGTCTGTACAGGAATCTAGGGCTACGGGGTGCTTCGGTTGAAGGATAAAGAAGCCAATTGTGATAATCATGATGATAATATGTATGATAATTATGATAAAATCACAGTAGCAAAAAAATAAAGCGAATAATACTAATTATAAAGATACTGCTAATAATAAAAATACGACGAATGGTAATAATGGTAATGGTGTAGTAGTAGTAGTAGTAGTAGTAGTAGTAGTAGTAGTAGTAGTAGTAGTAGTAGTAGTCGTAGTAGTCGTAGTAGGAATAGTATTCATATGAATAGGAATAAAAATAGGAATGATAATGGGAATAATAACAGAAATAGAAGAAATCTTGTTATGGAACCATAAGCTGGGGATGTTTCGGGGTCGTAGGGCTTGAAGCCCAGGAGATGCCACGGGAATCTGTAGATGGACCACAAGAAGCCCCCACGGAGCCGCGAAACCAGATCAAGGGGCATGCGCAGTCATGCCTGAATATACATATGCCTGAAATGCTATATGTAGGATATACATATAGATATATATATATATATATTTATTTATTTGTTTATTTATTTATGTATTTCTTTATTTACTTACTTACTTACTTACTTACTTACTTAGTTTTTCTTTATTTTATCCCAAACTCCACATCGAAACCTCGTGGCTTAATTACACTGTATAAAGCCCCACATTTGTATCAGAGTGGCAGGGTTCATCTGGCGGATCTCCAGGAGTTTCTGCTCAGCAGCCTGTCGAGCCTCCAACACTTCGAGATTTGGGCTTAGGGTTTAGGGTTTAGGGGACGATATGGGGGTTTAGGGTTTAGGGTTTAGGGCTTAGGGCTTAGTCTTTAGGGGACGATATTAGGGGGTACTTTTTGGGGTCCCTATTCTCAGAGGATCCTAGTATGTGGGGGGTCTATGTTCGGGGTCCCTTATTGTCGCAAACCCCCATTCCCTAAAGGGTCCATGTACCCATATAGGATATATTTGGGCCCTAAAGCTACTATATGGGAACCCCTTCAAGGCCCCAGTATGTACTATATATGTACATGGACCCTTAGGGATTTAGACAAGGGCTCTTTCGGAGTTGAGGGGATCGGCCCGGAAGTCGGCAACAGGTCAGGTGAGGCATGGCTTAGGGCTTGGGGCTTGGGGCTCGGGGCTCGGGGCTTGGGGCTTAGGGTTTAGGGTTTAGGGTTTAGGGTTTAAGGTTTAAGGTTTAAGGTTTAGAGCAAATAAGACCATACTTTAGATACCTCCCCATATCCCAATCACCAAAGACTCCTGGACATGCTGCCTGCGCCTGCGTCCCAAATCCTCTGAACAGTATGATTGCTGGTTGGCACTGGAAGGTTGAAGGTTTAAGCTTAAACTTCAAGGTTTAGGAAGCCCAACAACCATCTGGCTCGAAGGAGATTCATGACGTGCACGTGCTGCCGAACAGAAGGCATTGCAACATGAGTCTAATGTAAGACGCCTCAGAACCCACACGTCCGCGGCATACGCCAGCCCGAAACAGAAACACCGCATTCCTGGATGGGCTATTATACCCTTTATTCCCTTAAAAGGCCTGTAATAGGGTTCATTATGGGGATTTTAAGGCCTAATAGCCCATCCTGGTTCTGTACTCCGAACACCGCAAATTGTGCGCAGGTGACAAATCTGCGGCTGGCAACATCCAACTCCCCTGGAATCAGTGCCTTCTGGGGGAACTCCACCGACATAACACTCTAAACCCTAAACCCTAAACCCTAAACCCTAAACCCTAAACCCTAAACCCTACACACATCAAGCCCAGGATCCTGTCCATTGGGAGACAGCCACTGCAGCAGCAGCACGTTGAGGTCCGCCATGGCGAGCCCGGCCGGAAACCAGTGTCGAAACGATAAGAGGGGTTTAGGGTTTAGGGTTTAGGGTTTAAGGGTTTAAGGGTTTAAGGGTTTAAGGGTTTAGGGTTTAGGGGTTTAGGGTTTAGGGGTTTAAGGGTTTGGGGTTTAAGGGTTTAAGGGTTTAAGGGTTTAAGGGTTTAAGGGTTTAAGGGGTTTAAGGGGTTTAAGGGTTTTAGGGTTTATAGGGTTTAAGGGTTTAAGGGTTTATAGGGTTTATATAGGGATTAAGGGTTTAAGGGTTTAGGGGTTTAGGGGTTTAAGGGTTTAAGGGTTTAAGGGTTTAGGGGTTTAAGGGGTTTAGGGCTTAGTTTAAGGGTTTAGGGTCACTCATTGGGAGTTTGGAGTTTCCTTAGCACAAAGACGAATGCTGCCCATACTAGTTATTCAATATCTACAAGGCTTGACATAGGGCTTCAGGTCTTCCCAGAGCCCGGGGCGACTCCAATCCAGCGCAGTGAGTGCTGGGAAGAGCTTGCTCTTCTCCTCCTGGATGGCATCATGAAGGGATGGAAAATGTTATGCTAGAAGACCTTAAGTTTAAGCTTTCTCGCGTAAACAGCCTTTATAATTGCCAGCAGGTCTACTGTACCCCCTGAGTTTTCAGCCAGCGTCAACACTGTGAATGCCAGTCCTTCCCATGGCGCGAAAGAGTCTGACTGCGGCTGGCGTTGCAGGCCCTGCATCCCTCAAATCATGACCCCCCAATTGCTGTGGGAGGGGTATGCCCTAAACCCTAAACCCTAAACCCTAAACCCTAAACCCTAAACCCTAAACCCTAAACCCTAAACCCTATGGAGGGTAGTACAGTAGCTGCTCGAGTCCGCTTTTGCCCCCCGCGAAGCCAAGAAGATCCCCCAAAGGCACCTATTTGCGCCTCGAAACAAGCCCAGAGGGTCCATTGGTAGTGCTATTATGAAATTGGGTAGTACCCAAAAACCTATTCAGTATGGGCTTTTGGGTACCTAATTCCATAATTAGACCCTCTGGGAAATGCAATCTGCACGGGAACTGCGCAGGGAATCCGATGCCAGGCGAGCTGGTGGCCCCAGGCATCAGACATTTGCCCCCAAGAGGGATGCACGCGCTTTTGCGCCTTCTAGAATATTCTGCCAGTTCCATTTCGGAATTAGGGTTTAGGGTTAGGGTTTATGATTTAGGGTTTTTAGGGTGTTTAGGGTTTAGCGGGTTTAGGGTTTATAGGGTTTAGGGTTTAGAGGCGCCTTCCACCACGAGGCTTTGAAGATGTTCGGCAACGGCTGGGTCCGGCTAGGTGTGGGCGACACAGAAGTAGAATTAATGACGTGGGGGTTTGAGAAAATAGGGGACCCCTAGAATAGACCCCATATCCCTTGTAGTAAGGACCCCCAATAAGGCACCCCTGATTTCGGAAACTCCCATGTTCTGGTCTGCTTTGAAGCTTCGGAGGGTGCGATGTTAAGTCGCATTCCGAACTACTCGAACTACTGGTGAAACAACAGGTCAGTTCCCAAAATCACGGTCCCTTCTTGGGTACCCTCACTATCTGGGGTCGCCTTATCATGGTAACCCCAACAAGGGACCATAATTGCGAGAAGTGGCCATAAAGGTTCTTGTCACGTCAGCTTATGCTGCAGGAACCAGCCTGCGCTCAGTTGGGGCCAACTCGCGGCGGATGACGCTGACGTCAACACTACTCACTCCGAACTCTCCACCCACCGTTCCTTCACAAAAGAATTTCCCAAAATCGGGGTACGCCTGTCGAATAGAATAGAACCCCCTTAAAGGGTACCCCTATTTTCGGGAACCCCCAAATCCTCCCCTTCAACCCCTCCAGCCTGTGATTTTCTCTTAGAGATCCCCCCACCAACTCTCAGCACCCATAAGCCATGGCGTCCCCTGTGAGTGGCCTTAGGTGGAGAAGGAGGGTACGTCCTGAATCATGGGATACCCTGCTTAGCCCTGTTGCTTCTAGGAACCGCAAAAAAACCGACCCTATACGTTGTAGCCTCATTAGTGCTTCCCCTCTCCCTGTGGTTCGTGGTGGGTTTGGGGCTAACCGTTGGGGGAGGGGATGCAAGTGCCCTGCGTGCGATTCCAGGAAGTTCTCCTGCTGTTGCTTGGCCAAAAACATGCCTCTGGAATGCTCTGGACAGGTTCTTGACTGTTGCCTAAACCCTAAACCCTAAACTCTAAACCCCAAACCCTGACACCCTAAACCCTATAAACCCTACACCCTAAACTCCTAAACTCCTAAACTCCTAAACCCTAAACCCTGTTCTGTGAGCAGACACACTGTCAAGGCGTGACGGTGCAGGCCTGCGGAGGGTCGGTGTCCTGCTGGCACATCAGAAAAAACAAGGACCCTAAAACCTAAAAATGCCGAAACGATAGGGTTTAGGGTTTAAGGTTTAGGGTTTAGGGTTTAGGGTTCAAGGTTTAGGGACACACAAGCACGCCAATCTACACACTTGTGCAAGAGGTCCATGTGGTCGCTCGACACCTGCCAGGAAGTGAACGAACTGCACCAAATGTTAAGTCTGCACAGGGTCTACGTTGCAAACAAGGTTGCATTCGAGGCTTCGGGCTTCAACTTACGCTGGGCCAATTTAGGCTTCTATGGCTTCTCTAAGAAGCACAAGCTCACATCTGTGTAAGCTGGCATGGCAACAGTGGCGTTAGCCACTCTACACTCGGAGTGGAAGCATTGCCTACTCCAGGGTCTCCTTTCAGGGCCATTGCAAGCAGAATTTACGCAAAGAGGTATCTTGCTTTGCTCATGTAATTGCATGCTACCAACACTCCAGCCCCCTCATGCCGTGACACGGTGTGATGGGATTCGCACATGCTGATTTGATCATGTTGTGCCCGGATGATCCCTAATGCTCCAAGTCGGAACGACACATGTCCCGACGCTTTCTCTCCTATACCTGACCTACATGTCTCATCTCCTGCGCCCTAGACAAGGCAAGAGCCCTAAGCTTCGACCGTATACAGCAGTCCTGTGGTACATTGACGCCACTAAACCACAACCGATGCACCTACTGAACCACGACATACTCACCCACAGCGAACTGCGCTGGTGTTGGCAGTGCTATTGCGCACTCACACCTGGAAAAAGCTTAACCAGACCTGGCGATCTGAAGAATCCCGATGTTGCCAACATGATGGTGCAGACGCCGCAAGTAGCCCTAAACCCTAAACCCTAAACCCTATAAACCCCAAACCCTAAACCCAGGTTGCATTCACCAGCAACCAATCTGCCTCTGAGTCTTCATTGTCGTCGCGATCAATGGCTGCTGTGTAGCAGCAAACAGGCCAGATTCCTGGCAAGGTGCGGCTTAGGATTTTGGATCTGCAGGTTTTGGTTGGTGTCCATGGAATGTTTACCTCATATGGTGAGTTCTCTAAATTATGGTCCCCTTTTGGGTACCCTTAATAAGCGGGGCCGCCTTATATAATAAGGAACCCAAAAGGGACCATATTTTTCTAGAACTCACCATATGGAACCCTGAAGGTACCAGGCCTGCGCTGCAAACTGGTCGGTCTGGGCAGACGACCTGCAGCTGAGTGCGGACACCCGCAGGGGTTTAGGGTTTAGGGTTGAGCGCCCGTAGAACCTAAACGACTGAAACCCTGAAAAGACATAAAAGTTTCAACAGAAAAACCTGGAACTGTACTTGTCTTGGGGGGAGGTCCGTTGGAGGCAGAAACCCTGAATGAAAGAAAAATGAGAATACTGAGGGGCGCCTTATATGCGTGGAGGTTGGAGCTTGGGGTTTCGGCTTAGGATGCCGGAAAGATGTCCTCACAGATGGCATCCTGACGGGACCCAAAATGAATGATCCCGCCAACGAAGGTTCTCGGTTATCCCTAAACCCTAAACCCTAAACCCTAAACCCTAAACCCTCAACCCTAAACCCGAATGATGACGCCCAGGGTTCCCATGAAGTGGTCCCTGCCACGTAGCCGTGTTTGTGATGAAAGTCAAGAACAACACCCTAAACCCTAAACCCTAAACCCTAAACCCCAAACCCTAAACCCTATGAATGGCAATTGTTGAACTACAGGGTTTACTTGGCAAAACCACCCATGCCACGAACATAGCCCTTCACCAAAATCACAAGAGCCACCGTTGAAGCCTACTGGGCTCGACCAGTTCATGTGGCCAATTATGATCAAAGTTCTTGGCCCTTCTGGGTACCCAAAGCAATCAGGAAACTTCTACTAGACCGAACTAGAACCTCGAAAAGTCCCCCGGCTCCAGCAGTTAGATCAAACCCGGTGCCCCTAAACCCTATAACCCTAAACCCCTGAACCCCGAAACCCCAAAACTCTTTGCCAACTTCTGCAGTCCGAGGATGCCTGCCTTGTTCAGCATCGCTTCTGCCTCTTTTGCTCCGCAGATGTTTATAAGGTTTGGGGCTTAGTCTACGGAGTTTGCTTAGGGTTTCTCCAGGGGTTTAAGCTTTGTGGGTTGGGTTTTTTTGAGTAGCTGCGTTTGTGTTGGTTTGGGCAGACGGCTTAGGGCTCTACAGGGGGCTGGGGCTGAAACTTGGCGGCCGAAGGCTACCTGAGCCTCTCACATGTGGGTAGATGTCATGCAGTTCGATCTCGCTGTCGCTGTCGGTGGGTCTGCCTTCCTGCAAAGGCACTCACCAAAAAAAGGGGCCGTGCATTCATGCCGCTGTTGCGCTTTCATGCTCCGTGCGGATGTGCCAGTCACATGCTCCAAACTACGCACACCTTCAACTTCAAGCCAACTGCAATGAGAACACCCACGCGCCTCAACAACAACGGCAACAATGGCAGTGGTATCATCAGGGTTACCCCGTGCTACCAATGGCACGGCCGCCTCGGAAGTAGGTTCTCTAGGAAGTATACCTGCTTGGGGTTTGGGAATATGCTGGAACTGACAGCTGGAAACAAGCTAAAAGTACAGGGTCTAGGTTTTTTTGGATTCCGGGTTGTGTAATTTGTTCCGGCTGGCGGGCTCTACATGTCAAAATGTCATACCAACTCAACAGGCAGCGTCACACCAAAGCATGGCTCAGCTGACTACGCATTTCATAAATGTCAGGGCTGGACCGGATGGTCTGCGACGAGAACAACCTTAGAGATTGTTGCTACGTAGCTCCGGCGTGCTGCCTTGGAACTACGCAAATCTTCGAGCAAAAAATCCAAGCTTGGCAGCATTCTGAATCGCGGCATCGACCAAGCTGATGGCGGCTTGCTGGAGTTGAGTGACCTGTGGAGCGAGGGTGCTTTGCGAGAACTAGAACGACGACAACCCACCCTGCGACTGCCATGATCAATGATCTCTGAACATCAGGGCGGCACGGAAGGTACCGTGCGACCTTTGTACAGCACCGGCAGCTGCTGCACCAACGGGCGACTGCAAGTCAAGCGAGCACAAGGACAGGCAGGCCCAGGGGTGAGCCCCACTCTACATTTTCAAATTTACGACTATAGTATTGGACCAGTATTTGACCAGTATATTACCGCATCATTCTACAATAGCTGTTGTTGTAAAAAGGTGTTATACGACTATAAGAACAGTTTTATGCCTGCATTGTACAATAGCTGTTCTGTTAAAACATATAGTAGCATTATTTACTAATTGTTGCAAAGCACTGCCGTTCTCTCGCAGAGGGTCTGTGCCTCCTCGACTTCGCAGCCGAGTTTGGACCTGAAGGGGCTTTAAGGGAAGGTTGAGGGTTTAGGGTTTAGGGTTTAGGGTTTAGGGTTTAGGGTAACATGGCCTTCATCGTCATGGTCGCCCTGAGTGCCTCGGCCACGGGGGGCGTGCCGAATCACTTCAGCGAGAAGCAACACAGCAAGTCCCCGAGGGATGCTGCAAAATCAGCGCCACTGCTTCCGCCATCAGCAGCACGATTTACTACGATTCCATGTGGAGACATGTCAAGAAAGGCAGCTTAGGATTCAGCCAGCACGGCAAGTCAGAGGATCCCCAGCGTGCATCTTCACTGGGTCATCAATCTCATTTTTGGGCATTGACCTCTCTACTTGAAGAGCTACCCCTTCAAGCACGGCGAACAATCATAAGCCAACACTTTCTACGTTTGGTTTTCGAGTAACTTCGATAGACTGAAGAGGTCTGCCGTTCCCAGAGTGTATATTCTCTACCTTCAGTGACTAATTACTGGCAGGGTTTTCATATTCTTTTTAGTTACGGCCCCGAGCCTTGAGCTGCAGTCAGCTGGACGCACCGTGAGGGCTGGGGCCCCTTGCAGTGGTTCTGCACGATGTGAGTGATGGCCTTGCGGCTGAGTAGCCCTCAAACGTCGGACCCACACTCCGAAATTTCTGAAGCACCGAACATGACTACAAACAAAGCCGAACATGACGCTTTCCAAAGGAGAAGGGCTGCTCTGCATCCACAGCTTACAGCCCTGGGCGACATTCCCAGCTGTCCTCATCACTGAGATTGTCGAATAACCCGTCAGACCCAAGCACGACCACGTCACCGTGCTTGATCTGCACCTGCGTTGGACTTCAGCTTCGTTGTGCTGCCCAAGATGCCAGGAGATCATTATATTCATATTAGATTGTTGGTTGACTCATAGAAGTATATGATTTATGATTGTATTAATATGCTGTGCTAACGTTGTGCTCATGCATCATACGTGGTTATAGTATTCTAGTGATATAGATGTATAATAGTATAGTAGAAGATTAAGGAAATACATTTGCTCTTTGAATGGTTCTGTACGGCGTCTGACAGAGGCGTGCAGAGCAAGAGAGGGCGCGGGCCATGTCCAAGCGGAAATCCTCCAGCAACTCCTTCTGCTCGCCAGTAATTTGATGAGGAAGTCGGAGCACCTTTGGGATATCAGGGGTACCTTGATGGGGTCCTTTTTATAAGGGGATCGCGGGGTGGGGTCTCTTTGGTCCCTTAGTATCGTGACCCCCATTGGGTTACCGAATCCAGGGCTCTGAGCGCCTGAGCAACTTCTACCAAGGCGCCTGTGCGGGTGTCTTCTCCCCCATCATGACGCGCTGGGAGCGGAAAGTGCTGCGAAGGTCGTCGCCGTTTGTCGGCCTCCCCCAATCAAAGCTGAGCTCCAAAGGCAGTCACAGAAGTGTGGGGGTTGAGTGAGTATAGAGCCTCAGCACAAGCAACGCGCAGTCACCAAGCGTGATCACTGCCAAGCGCTGGCAGTCCTCCCAGCAGTCTCATCACATGCATCCTGGCATGCCAACGAAACAGCGTCCTCGATACCAGCAAGGAGCACTGTGGTGGCACCCAGGGAAGATGTTCCTGCGAAGGCTTCCTGCGACAGGACGTGCGAAGCTGCTGCTGCTGCATCTCCAAGTCGTGTAGGAAAGTGTAGCAAACAAAACCGTCACCATCGCGTGATATGCAGAAGCTCTCGCCGCTGCAGCTGACATGCTTCAAAGCCCTAAACCCTTAAACCACTTCCCTAAACCCTGAACCCTAAACCCTATAAACCCTAAACCCGAAAAGGACCCAAAGTGCCTTCAGCACAGAAAGGACCCAGGAGCCGCTCTCGCCCTTCGCGTACACATCTTGCGACGAGCTCATGACCTTTGATTCGGGGGGTCATTCTCCCCAAGTTCTGGGTTTTTTGGCGATTATTGGTATGTTTTGGAGGGTTTCGGACTTATCCAGCAACAGACTCATTGATTCAGCAGCCTGCCTTCTGGCATTGTGCAAGAAGCTCTCTTGGAAGCACGTCCGGGGCAATGCCTCACAAGCCATAAGGTGGTTCTGAGCGAGCTTCGCACATGTAGTGCACACACTGTGAGGACAACGACTGCAAGACGGCCTACATATATCAGACCTTTCACGCAAGCTCAAGACTGAAGCCTTGATCTCTGCTGGGGCTGCCACCCAACCCGTGGGGAACCTTAAACCCTAAACCCTAAACCCTAAACCCTATACCCTATATAAACTTTAAACCCTAAACCCCAAACCCAAAACCCTAAACCCTTGGCTCCAACTTGAGCTCCCCGCCCATCTTCTGCACCCCAGAGACTCCGTCACAAACACCCAGCCTTCGGCAACGAGGGGACATTGCAACACATGCTGGAAGCAATGGTGCCCGAAAGCCATAGCTCCTCTTGATGTCTTTTCAAGCTCAGCGCGGCACCATTTCTGCGCACAGCAGACAGCATCTGCGTAGATGTACTGCTGCTGCCTCTGCCGGAGAGGCTTGTGTGGATACTATCCGCGAGCTTGCCCGAAGTCTGACCACGCAATGGAACCAGGTGCCAGGCTCTTTGAATGGGTGCTGCTTTGCAGCAGAGGCAGCTTCGAAGCCTTAGAGGATCCCTCGGAGCTCTCGACATGGCTGAGCAAGAGAGCAGTTTGGGGCGAGGGTCAACGGAGAGAGGGGGAGCGGAGGAGAGGAAGAACGAAACTACCATGGCAAGAGAGAGAGAGAGAAAAAAAAAAAGGGAGTGGGAGCGGAAGTACGAGCAAGGGAGGGCCCAGAAGGAGAGTGCGGAGCCAAAGCCACTTATCAGAAGCTGGCCGTATATGTCGTATACGCCTTCTTGCTGTGAGCCCCTTTATGTTTTCAAGAGTCAGAAACAACTGCCGCCCTATACTCGAACCAAGCCAGTGACGGAGAGGTCGCTTGAGTCCCTGGCGGCATTCGCGAACGAGGCAGCTGCTCTTCTTGATTGTGTTTGGCGCAGATCAGGTGCAGGGTGAATTACAAGCCCTACAACCCGGAATCCTACCACTTGGGGATCTACATTGGAGGTCCCCTAATATCGTAAACTCCCATGTAGTTACACCACCAGAACCTCCAGAGATGGCCTCTGATTCTTTGCCGGTTCCAAGCTTGCCTCGCCTGAGTCTCGCAACAACAAGAGCAACAAAGAGAACAAGAAGAACAACGACCGACGACGACGACGACGACGGCGGCGGCCGCAGCAGCAGCAGCAGCAGCAGCAGCAGCAGCAGCAGCAGCAGCAGCAGCAGCAGCAGCAGCAGCAGCAGCAGCAGAAGCAGAAGCAGAAGCAGAAGCAGGTGCAGATGCAGATGCAGCAGCAGCAAAACAACAAAGCATGAAGGAGAGGCCAAAGCTTAGTGTTTTCGATTTACTTAGGTCTGCTTGAGTTTGTTCGGGTGTGCGGTTTCAGGCTATACCATACGGCCCCAAATACACAGCCACATTCCAAGCTCGAGAAATTCTGCGGTCCAGAACTAAGCCAGGCACTCTCTCACGGCGCCGGGTGGAAGCCGAATTCCAGGATAATTCATGAAGGTTGCTTCAGAGTCTGAGTCTGTCTTTGTTTGGGCTGAATGAGCCTGTAGACTCTGGCCTCTGTTCTGGGTCACATCCGTGCAATAAAGGATGCTAAGCTAGGTGTTCTTGCAAATGTCGATGCGCGCTCCTTGTAGAAACTTGAGCTACGTACACTTGATCCGTCCGTTTGGCGAAGTAGCGGCAAACTACAGAGTGCTTCCAAGCGCTGGCTGGATGGAACGTGCTCACAAGCCCTTCGCAGTACATTGCAACATTCACCAGCATGTGACAGTGTCATCGCCAGCTTTCACTTCACACATGCAGTCTACGGTGCTCATTGAAACTGTGCTCAAGGATGGAACTCTGGTGGAACTTTCCAGAAATTGAAACGGGTCAGCAACATCACGAAACTGTGGCCGAGGCCACAGGTATGACATCACCGAATCTGTAGCTTGTGGAATCTGCGCCTCTGCGCTGGCGGCAGGGTCGAATGCCAGCAGGAAGGGGAACCGTGTCACCCAATTTATGCAGCGTTTGCGCACTTGGGGGAGCAAGAGCGCAGGAAAATCTGCCACCACAAATGTCGGGGTCTGAGACCTTCGCCTGTGACCCTATGGTGATGCAGGTCTGACAAGTTAAGAGCGCCGTGAGGACTTACAACCCGGCATGACCGGCAGTCCTCAAAAGATGGCACATGCCAACTGCAGGATGTTATCGCGTGCTGAGCAGGTGCCTTCTACACCCGCCTAGTACTTTCATGAGCACCACATGTTCACTCATCATGGATGTTTGGCCATATAGGGCCATAGAGGGCCTCAGAGTTAAGGTTTAAAGGGCCGCGTTGCATCCCGCTTTGACCATGTCTTGCAGCCGTGCGGGGCCCACACCCCCGAGCTGCACTGCAACGGCCCCTTGAAACTCGGGTTTTCCCGATGGGACAGATCATACAAGTCCCTGGGCCGAGCAGGGAAAGCTCAAGCCTTCGCCACTGCTGCAGCACTTCTGTCACTGCTACTGCTTCTGCATGCTCTGCGCAGGGCGAAGTTGTACACATACAGAGCCCGTGGGGCAGGGAAGCATGAAACTTCTTCAAACGAAAACATGACAAGGCCATTATACAAGCTGTGGCACGGAGCCTTGACACCGCGAGCCTTGACACTTCAGGTTCATCGTGAGAAACACACCTCCTTCAGTCCACTCTTGCGCCAGAAAGTGCTGCGACAGACGGACCTGACCAGGGAATAACTCAGGTCGGAGAATTTTCGGCTGAGGAAGGTCTCCAGGAGTATATCAGGTCACTTCACAACTCCCTTTCATCCGTCCACGATGAGGAGAACAAGTGCGCCTCCTGTTGTAGTCTTTGGCTGGGAACGCCTCGTTGCCTTGGAAGAAACCAACCTGTCAAACTCCGACACATGGAGGGGACTATGCGACAGCTGGTCGTTAGCACTGATCCTATACAAGGGGACCCCTTACTCTACTAACTGTAGTTAAGGGACTTATAACCTAATTTAGGATCCTTTGTCACCCCATTTAGGGTCCTTATAACCCAATTTAGGGTCCTTATAACTCTATTTATAACTAGGGCGCCCCTCCTTATAGCAACTAGCAGCGGATGCAGCATGATGATGATGATGGTCTTGATGATGGTCTTGCCCAGAGTTTGCAACCCTAAACCCTATGAGGTTGAAATATGCTGCAGCTACGTCGACGACCCGGACGACTACGATGACAGACAATGTGTACGAGGTTTCCCTAAACCCTAAACCCTAAACCCTAAACCCTGTTTGTGTCCGCGCGCCTTCATACTCTCAGTCATCGGGTACGACGGCCTTGGGGCGCTAGGCAACAAAATGCTGGTTCAGGTTTTAGGGTTTAGGGTTTGTGCAGCCACAACTCCGAATGTAAAGAAGCTTGGTTGGGATGAACTCGGAGATTGGCATGTCAACGAACCGGAACTACAACCAGCAGAAGTTACCTGAAAGCTCTAGTGTAGTTCGTTCTTGGTTTAGTTCTAGGGGATTTTAGTATACTACGCCAAAAAGGTACTACATAGGAGCTGTTGGGAAAGTTTCGCTGAAATTGAAGTAGGCCGCTTTCTGACCCCAAGCATATACATTCTTTAGAACCCCAAAGAAGATGCAGGTCAAGTGACTTGACAAGTTCCCGTTTCATTCGACATGAACCACGCCGGCAGGTGGCAGATGACAACAAATATGCAACGCGCCAGTATTGTTGCAGAAAGCTTTTGTTCACACACGTTTGGAATGTTTTCGACAAGCCTCAGCACGCCGAAGCCCAGCAGGGTGCAGCGCTACAGGTGGAAAGGAAAAAGTGCTCAAGCTGTGACCCCATGCCATCCTAAACCCTTAACCTGCCTGAAATTAGCCCTAAACCCTAAACCCTAAACCCTAAACCCTAAATCCTAAACCCTAAACCCTAAACCCTAAGCTTGGCTCAGCTCCCGGCTTGGGGCACGAAGTGCCGCGACGAGAGGCATTCGAGCCCAATCTCAGACACGTGTTGGGCTTCCCTGGGGACCATATGAACCCTAAAAAAAGGGGGTTTAGGGTTTAGGGTTTAGGGTTTAGGGTTTAGGGTTTTGGGTTTAGGGTTGATAGTTCCCAATCTCAGACAGGGGACCAAATGAACCCTAAAAGGGTTCAGGGCTTCGGGCTTAGGATTGATAGTTCGTCTTACCTGAATAGGGGTGATAGTAGTAGTATAGGGTACATGACCCACAACTTTAGGGTTCAATATTACCTTCATAGGGATTTTTGTCGTGTAGGGTAGAGGGCCCTAAACTTTCGGGTTCATCTGGTCCCCAAGTTGTGGCTCATAGGCTCATGGATGTTGATAGTGTGCTTGGAGTGTAATTATAGGGTTCCCAGGGACCTTGGGGGAGTTTTCCTGAACCCGAATATGGTTATAATTGGGTTGTAAGTACAATTGTTATTGGGATAATAGGTACCATGAATCTCCAAGCGGATCAGGTTCTCCGATAGACTTTGAGAGCCACACGGGCCACAACAATGAGCTGGTGGACCTTGGTGTTCTATTTGTGGGGGATACTCTGAGTTCTGGGACCTTGTTTGGGAACCCTACGTGCAAGGCCTCATGTTCTAATGGCATCTGCAACTGTGGACAATTTGTGCGCAGCATGCGGGCACCACCAAACGGCACAGCCCTTCATACGTTCCGGCACAGAGAAAATGAATTTCTCCGCGCACGCATGTCAGAAAAGACAAAAACCAAAACCTAAACCCTAAACCCTAAACAAAATCCAGGTCATTCAAGGCATGATGCCGATGTCATCGAAGTCCACCACCCGGCTGTCCTTCTCAACTCACTTGCAGCGAGAACCACGCAAGCTCCACTCTCCGAATCGAGCACGATCCCATGATTTCGGACGCGGTTTTTGTCGTGGCAAACGTGGACCCTCCAGCTGTGATGCAGGTTTAGGGTTTAGGGTTTAGGGTTTAGGGTTCTGTCCTTGACGGTGAGAGAGTCGATCATGCTCTGAAGGAAAGCTTTTGCGGCTGACCTGCCAGCTCAAGAATCAATCTTGGAATGTTGATGTCCGGTTGATCACATGCAACTTGCACCCGCATTGACTGATGACGAAACCTGCCGCACTACACCACACGACAGATATACTGTCGGGCACGCAGGCGTTGAGAGCAGTCATACCGTGTCAGTTCTACAAACCGAGCAGCTTGCCTGCGACGTCTGCCTTTATCAGGTGAGGCGAGTCAACTCAAACAGCAGCACGACTCACACCGAGATGCCTGCACCTTCTGTGCGCACCGCCACTGGGGAGCCAGCCATCTTTCGGAGCAGTGTTTGGTACCCAGGGGCCAATGGAAGAAGGCCTGGAACTTTTCTGAGAGCTTCACGCCAAAGTCTTCGTCAGCTCCCCTTAGACCGCCCCTAAGAACCCTAAACCTTAAACCCGAAACCCTAAACCCTAAACCCGAAACCCTAAACCCGAAACCCTAAACCCGAAACCCAAAACCCTAAACCGCTGCAGCCTGGTTTGCTTGTTCTTGATGGCGGCTGCAAGGACGTCCGGTCGGCACCTCTGCGGGCCGAAGCTCTTCGAGAATGGGTTTGGGGTTTCGGGTTTCGGGTTTCGGGTTTAGGGTTTAGGGTTTAGGGTTTAGGGCTAGGGTTTCCACAGTCGCTAGGAGGCCCGTGGACGAGTTACTTAATCGGGGAACGAATAAATTAACAAATGAGTAAATACATCTACGATATGTATCTACATGTTTTGATTTGCTCATTTCTTGTCTATGTCTTCAATATTGCTTGTGATGTTTTACTTGACTATCATTGTTTTCGTAGTATACTTCATACTTCATACTACGTGCTGCATGTATTTTAGAATCCTCTTATAGAAATATTACGTTCAACCTAAGCCCAAACCTTAGAACCCCCCAAGCCTTCAGCTGAAATCCCTAAGCCTGATCACCCCTGAAACGCCAACACGACCGTGTCTAATGGTAGATTTCTACCGTTTAGGGTTTAGGGTTTAGGGTTTAGTCTGTACTCTTACCATGCAAGGTTTTAAGGATTGGGGTTTAGGGTTACCCTCACATACCCAAATATGGCTGATCTTAGCAGACACAATCCAGTATGGCAATGCTGAGCATGAGGCGTTGAATCGCCGATGGAGTGCAAAGAAGCCATGGGGACGAAAGACACGGGCAAAACCAACAAAAAAAAACAAACTTCGGCAATCAGGCTGAATCAAGTCCATGCTTTGGTTCAACAGCTGCAATCACCCTGAGCGAGCCGACAAAAGCTGCATGTCAGGAAGACATTTGCGCATGTGCATGCGACCCCCTTTCATCTCATGATCTTGCAATCGAAGCGATCGCACAGCTTTTGGTGATCTCAGGACCTCCAAGAATCGATGGTGAAGATAAGAAGCACGGCAAAACCCATCCATGCTGCATGACCACTTGCAACCCTAAGATCGTGATCCCTAAACCCTAAACCCTAAACCCTAAACCCCTAAGATCGTGATCTAAAAACCAAGGCCACTCCTCTGTCCATGACAGCCGGCTTCGATGCCTTACAGGCGTGAGCGCAAGGAAACTACCATAGGGGCCTGAATGATTAGAATAGGGTTTGGGTGGGTTCTTGTCGTGTTTTTTCAGGGACCATATGGGGATAACGATTAGTAATTCTTCCGACCCCCATATTACAGCCCTTGGTCCTGATTCCTGACTGATGGTTAGCCGCACCAGGAAAGTCGTCGCCGGAACTGGCACAGCACTTGCCACGATATGGCACACTCTGAGCGCTGCCCCCGCTGAGATGTTGACATATGAAGGTTCGCGGCACTGAAGGACGTCAGGCCTGAAGACCAGCTGTGACAAGCTCTGCCAGTTAAACCCTGGAAACCCTGGATTTCCTTAGAGTCGGACACTTGACATAGCTTTCCAAGTCGGGTTTTAGGGTTTAGGGTTGAGGGTTCAGGGGATGAGCCAGTCCCCGAGACTGTGACGGAGGCAAGGCACGGCAGAACTGCAGAGGTTGGTCAGGTCTCTAAAGCCTTTGTCTCGAAAACTGACCTCTGCTTTACAGGTACCTTTGATCCCTAGGCTCTACCAGCCGGCCCTAGCATGTAAGGGTATCCCAAAAAAGTGACGATGATTTAGGGAACGGACCACTGAGAACACAGCAGCCGAGCCTGTAAGCCGACACCAGGGACTTTAGGGCTTCTAGGGTTAGGGTGTTCATCGCGCACGCACGGCATCACCCTCGTGGTAGGTTACCTAAACTGCGATCCCCTTACGGTTCCTATGATACGGAGTTGCGGAGCTCACGCGAAAGGGGACCGGAATTTTAGAGCTTGTTTCAGGTTTACAGGGATTCAGGAAGTGTTTCGGGCTCCGGGTTGAAAGGGGGGCGATGACAAACTCGACTCTCTTTCGGGAAACTTCTGTGGCAGGCACTCTCAAGGACACATGTAAGCCCAGATCTCGTCGCATGCTGATTTGCTGGATGGCTAACTGTACCAAGCGGACAAAGCGCCACAGTCGCTGCAACAGATACACATGCCAAGGCACTGCCCCCGCAAAGATCGGCCGACCCGTGGGCTTCTGGAACCATTCCTGACTTGCGAGGTCGCAGCTCAAAGCAGCTCAGGGGCTGTGCGACCTACTAAGACGCCATGGGAAGCCAGTGGATATATACATATATATATATATATATATATATATACATATTATATAATATAGTTAACAATAATATAGGAATATAATGATATATTAGTAATATAGTTAAAGGCTTAAAGAGTTCAGAGACAGGGGGAAATTGCAATACATAACAACCTGCGCATCACAAGATGTCGAGATCGGAAACTGCCATGTCCCCGAAAAGACCGAACAGATACAGCCGCCTGCGCCCCATCTTTCGACCTCCCCTGACTCTTTGGGCAGTTGCTTGTTAATGTGCTTGTTGCGGGGAAACCTCTGACATGAAGACTGCTACCTTGATTGACGTGACACAGACAGCTTCCAGTCTGGGACTCGCGTGTCTAAGTTCCAAAAGCAGCACCCTCAGTCGCCGCAGGCAACAAACGAATGCTTTTCAAACAAAGTTTGGAGACTGGATTCTCCGCTGCTCACCCTTCCATGAACAGGGACGCCTACAGGGCAGTGCTGAGCTTCTTGAAAAAGGCACTTTCGGACATACAATAGAACTTCTTATTAAAATACATAAACGATGTCGCTCATACCTCCATCAAGTAGCAGGTATACAAACATTCAGTTTCCTGTTTGGCTGCGAATTTCGATCCGAGCCCGTCCAATGATTGATACGAATCAAGCACCTGGCCGATGCGATTCAGAAACTGCGCAACTTGTGAGTTGTTCGATAGTGGCCAGCAAACCACAATGGTCACTGACATAAGCAGGATGAGTGCTTACATCTGGGTGGATGCAAGCAGAGTTGCTCTGCATCGAAGGCAGCAAAGCCAAAATTTCAGCTCCTGGATCTTGAGGCTGCTCAAACATCAGCTCGATATCCACTGGCTGCCATCGCGAGAGTTTCGTCAAGACACGATCCAAGCGATTTCTCCTTTTGTTTTTGCCATGAGACCGCCAAGTGTTCCCTGGTTCTTCTCGCAAGGACGGCCAGAGGTCCACAAACTGCGGCAGTTTGTTGAGGCCTCTTCGCGCCTGCTTTTCTACCAAGAAGTTGAAATCGCCCACGAGGATCATGTCAGGCCACTGCTCCATCACTTCCGCACAAACTGCCAGCTGTGACTCTCGAACGTCTTGGTTGTCCAGGGACTCCAAGTGCACGGTGCCAACACTCAAGCCATCAAACTCTGCAACGAGCAGTTGCCGATCCATATCAGTCGGTAAAGAATGACAGGAAAATCGCACAGACAACCCTGGAGACGCCAGGATCATGACACCATACTCTCCTTCAAGACCAAGAAGATTTGAGGAGGACCATGAAGGAAACGCATGTTCGATGTCTCTAGCAACCTTCGGAGTCACCTCCTGAAGACAACAAATCGCTGGACCAAGCTTCCGGAGGGTTGACAGAAGGATGGCAGTGCGGAGCTCCCGATCCCGTTGTTCGAACCACACGTTGAGGCTGAGGATCCGGAGCTGTTTTGCTGAGATTTCCGGGGACCGGAAAGGAAGCAGAATACCGAAGTGTTGAGGTAACTTCTCCAGCAGTTTGTCCAAGTTCTGCAGCAGGAACGCCCAAGTCGCATGTCTTGGCAGGATTGCGTTGGTCGCTTCTGACAGCAGTCTCCGGACAAAGCTCGCTGCGTGCCCAGGGTCCGCGACGCCGTGTAAGCAAAGGTCAGCCAGAAAATCGAAATTAGCTGTGTGCAATCGGAGAAACTCCTGTTTGTCAAAAACCTTGCTCTTCATGCCAAAAAAAACAGCACTCTTAGGCTTCACCAGACCTGAGATTGAACGGAGCACCTTCTTTGTCAACTCTTGATGCCACGTCGTAGGCAGCGCAGCGCATAGAGTGACGATCGGGACAGGTGTTTCCTCTTGCTGCAAGGCAACGAAGTGGATCGAGTTCAACAAATCCTGCTGAGAAGCATCTCCCAATGTCGAGTCCAAAGAACCTGCTTCAATTGCCTGTGAGAGGGCGGCAACTTGAACGTGGTCATACTGACTTTCCTTGGGAAGACTGGGAAGACTGGGAAGCCCCTTCATCTTGCAGACCTCAAGTGCTGAGAGGGTGTTTGGAGAGTTCTCGACATAGAGCTCGCAATACATGTAGACATCTGGCACAAGTTCGATTTCGACTTCCGTGACGAGACTCTGCAGAATTGCCAAGAGGCTGTTTTTTACTTGCTCTGTTTCTTCTGGATCATACGAGTTCTCCACAAAGACTTTGCAAATCATTTCTTCTCCATCTTCTTCATCTTCGACCTCAAAGGAATCTGGATGAAATCCCAGCTTTGGCAAAAAGCCCACTAATCCTCCCCCCCTCCCCCCCCCCCCTCCCCCTTCCCCCCCCGAAGGCCAAGCCTTGAGCAATTACTGCCTTGGGCCGAGGCCAATGGAAACCACTGACGCACCCTCACTCTGTGACACTGTGCTTTACTTTAAGGTGGCCATGTATGTGACTATATGGCTCTCGGTTGGCAGAGCCTCGGTTGCTCATGATGCCACAGGATATAAGGGGAGGAGGCCATGACAGAACTTGATAGAACCAAGCCAAAGAATTGCGACATCCTGCAAAGGTCCGTACTCTGTCTGACTCTGTCTAATTAGCAGTGCTGTCTTCGCTATTTTTTGGACGAGCGATGTGCGCAGATCACACCGCACGTCTGACGCATTGCCAGCAAGTCGAGCTTTTAGAAACAAGGAACGGTCGACAACACCCAAGCGACAGTTCTGCAAAGCCTGCTTGGCACGAACCGAGAAAGCAACGCGGAAAATCTCTCCAAATCCAAAAAAACCAACCCACACAACTTGGAATTAGGGGTGAGGGGGTCCGGGCTCCAAAACCCTCAACTTTAATCAAACCAAAACGCTAATCCATCCGAAAATGACCTTAGGGATAAATATACCCCCTAATTATATAAATAAAAATCAGTTCAGAGTTGAGGGAGGGCGGGGTTTGGGGGCACCTCTTGTATCGGGGGCAGGGATTTATTACATGCATAAGCTAAGCCTTCGACGACATCCTCAACTACGGCGCCAATTCCGAGTTCTCGTCGGAAGCACTTCTCGGCAATGTAGGGCCACACTTGATTCATTTCTTCTGGAGGCAGCAAGAAGCCCCAACTCCCGCTCGGAACACCATGCCGAAGTGAGAGATTTCTCAAGCCGTCCCGAAGCTCTTCGGTCGAAACCCTCCAGTTCCAGGACCTCGTCTGCACTCTTTCCAAACCCTCAACAAGAACTTCTTATGTTTGGGTCCTCTTCTTTGGTATTCCAAGTTCGTCCTCCCATCTGCAATCCAAGTGACAACTTTTCCCAGTCTCGGCACACGTTCACAATCTGTCTGAAACGCTGCTGAATTGGAGGACCAACAGACAAACAGCTGTACCTGTCCCAGTCATAGACGGACGGCCTAACACGTTGGAAGCACCGGAGCTGCACTTCTGCATCTGACAGATCCAGCCGTATGGCCTCGTCCCAAGACTGAAAGCAGGCTTAACGTTCTGCTGATCCCACCCCGAGAACAAGCTTTCCTTTCCCTGTCACAGTACACAAACCCTTTTGGCTTATCAGAAGGGGCCTGGCGCGTGCGTGTAAAAGTAAGTGGTAATAGTTAATAGTAGACAGGGGCAAGAGTCAGTCATAGTAATTAGTAGTAGAGTGGGTAATGTTGCAGTGGCCTCCATACTAGACCTCCAGAGCTCCATGAGGTCCATCACTCTCTCCAATTTCGTCGGGAGCCTCTGCGACACATTGTTTGACTTTGCCCTGGCCGCGGAGTGCGTCTTGCCGCCACCCTTGCACCCTGGGGTTCAGGCCATTCAAGACTCTAACATCTGAAAGACTTCGGAAAGGAACGCCCAAGCTCAGAGATTTTCAGCACCCGAAACCACAACTCCCGCATCCCTGTCATTTAAATCTATAAAGGGCGTCCATCAACGCGAACCCGTTGTAGGCACATAGTCAAGAGACCTTTGTTGTTGGATCCTTTTCCTTTTCCTTTGGCTGTCTGCTCCGGCTGCTTGGGGGCTGCTCGCGTTGGACAGCGGACGGTCAAGTGATCTCCAACAGCCCCACAGGAGCGGCATGTGATTGGCATGGATGCAGCGATCTTGGGATGTGTTAGGGCCGCTTCTGTAGCAAAGGAGGAGAAGCAAAACACATAAAAAGGAGACGGAACATCAACCACCTAAATCAAGTTGTCAGAAAGCCCTTGCGGCATGTGCCTTCAGGTTGCGTGATTCAACAAATGTCTTTGGCATCTATGGCTCAAAAGCATATCATCTCTTGAAGTCTTTTAATTATTGATTTTGCCCCTTTCACTCGTCATGCGTGCTCTGTAAGAAGAGCATCGCGCCATTTCTGAGCCAAAACAAGTCAGAATGACATTGTCAGGACATCACCGTCGTCAGCTCGGGGGACCGACTACTGAAGTCTGCGGGCTGCCACTCTTCAGATGTGCACCAATTTCAAATTCATTCAAATTCAGTCAACTGCCAAGCCCCAATATTGTCCAAGCTTTGAGCAGAGCCGCGGGTGGACGCCCGGAGGGGAGGCATCCTCAAACGGTCATTGTTGTCGGAAGCTTATGCCATTCAGATGCGTTGGGCTCCATAACAATTGCAAGTATTCAGGAACCCTATAAACCTTAGACCCTAGACCCAAGCAGGCAACGCAACTCTCGCAACTCTCAATGGCCTCAGTGGCACCCTTGCTGGGCCTGGTGGTAGCAGAAGCAAGCGTTTGCAGCCCCGGTCCAGGCGCAGGCGGCGCAGGTCTTGTTCCTCACTTGGGGGGGGATTTCTTCGCGCTTCAGGGGTCAGAGGCTCTTACAAGGGCTGAAAATTCCAGAGTCATATGGTTTCTTGCATAAAGAGGCCTGGAGGCACGGTCTTTGTGGAGTTCTGGCTAGCCAAGCCACGTGATATCGGGCGCACGTCTTATGAGCTTTGAAAGCCTAACAACACGAACCCACAGGCTGCTGCGGTTCCTCATCGTGATTGGGTACATCATCCTAAGTCATGGTCATATTTGCTTCTGTTGTGCATGCCAAATACCGGTGGTAGACTTTGGTCTCATGACACCACCATCACAGGAACTCCTGATTCAGCTTGCTGATAAACAGTTGCCGTTTCAAATGCATCCTTCCTCTTGCGTAGCCGAGTTTTCTCCGCATGTCTGGCATGGTACAGAATCATGGAATCCTAAGAATTGCGTGGAGTATTGTTGCTATATACCACCAACTGCCTTCAAAACCTGAGCCCCAAAGCGCTCCAACTTCTAAGCAAACAAGGCCTCAGGGTGCCAAGCTTGGAAAGCTTGGCAGGGGGAGACCGCAGCCAAATCTTGAAGGCATCCTCCATCAGTGCAGCTGAATCACGTCGTATAACGGTCTAGGGTTTGGGGTTTCCTAGTTGACTCAGAGATGCAGTAATAACACACACGACTTCCATCTCATTCAGGACTCTATTATTACATTCGATCAAGACGGCATGAGAGTGCGGGACGCATGCATTCCATTCGCTTCACTCAGTACTTATTATAACCAAAGGATGAAAGGAACGTACCAAAAGAGAAGACGACATGAACGATGCAAACGAGAGAACAGAATGACACGGCTAATCCTGGTCCTTCGGAGATAATATTACTACTGATAGGCATGGCCTATTACAAGGAGAAAGTCATTCATAATTGCAATCAAATGAGAGTTATTGTGTGATCGAAAGGACTAAAGTTTACTCACATATTTCCGTTATTATAAGTTGTAACACGCACACTCACTTCATTCGTTCGTTTTTAAGATAGAGAGCGGGAAAACTCAATCACCAATGCTGTCAACTTTAGGAATTATACTGTCATTTCCCCAGAACTTACATTCATTAAACCACTTCAATGATCAGTAAAGTAGGCCGTTAACCACTTATTGCCCCTATTGACTAACCTGGTTTCCGTTCGTGCTACCTTCGTCTCACAAGGGCTTATTAGAAGGGAGCAAGACTGAAGAGAATGAGTGAACTTAATTATAAACGAATGAATGCAGTGAAAGAGTGCATGAATTAAGTGAGTGATTGAAAAAAAGGAATTCATATTGATCTGCTTCATCTTTCGCTTCACTCTTTTCCCCTTTCTTTGCCTGGTTATAATACTAACTAATCGCCCCTATTAATTATCGATTTTATGGGGCTTATAACGCTCACTCCCAGACACAACTTTAGGATTGCTTTAGAAAAGACCCTGGATTTACCGTTCAAACCTCAGAACTAGACGCTGGACTTTGAGGAAGACGTGAAGAGAGTTATGAGAATAAGGGTGTGCACGAGAATTATAATTAATGAGCCCCTTTGGGTTCCGTTCACTATTTAATTCAGGCACTCATTTCTCTCGTTTGTAAGTATAATGATATTGTTCTCTTCACTGCAGTTCTTATATTCATGTGTCCCGTGCGCTTATTAGAATACTACTTGCACAGGTCTTTTCGTCGTTCATTTCATATGGCCTTTTTCGTACGTCACGAAAACAGCGAGCCATAGCTGAGAGCTTGACTAGGGTTTAGGGTTTAGGGTTTAGGGTCTAGGGTTTAGGGTACTAAAGAGGCAGTGAAAGTTGGTGCTGCAGGGGGCGTCATTGCCTAAGAGAACACTCCTGGACAAGTGCCGGTATACGAGTTGCGTCCTCAAGCGTCCTCCAGGATCTCAGAAAACGGCTGTGACGTTGCTGGACCTCATGCAGGCCGTAATGATACATGCGCCGCTCCATCATCATGTCATCAGTCTGTCAGAGACGTTGGCGCAGACTTGCCGTCGCAGCTGAAAGCTTCAATGGTGAAGGCGACCGCCTGACATCATGCGAGTTATGGCCGGCAAATCACCGAGGACATGCGGAGGTTGTTCTGAACTAATGGCTCTTTTGGTATTAACATCTCATAAAAGGAACTACCAGAAGGCAAAAGGCCCAAAATGGGAACAACCCCCCACATGACGATTCAGCCGGGGACCCTCTGGGGACTCCACACGCCTAAACATCCGCATAACACCATAACCTAGTACAAAAACCCCCCCGGCCCCAAATACCGATCCCGGGTCTGTCCCTATTAAAACCTGTACAGAGTTAGGGGGAGGGGGGGATTAGGGGGGCGTGGAGGCCCTCAACCCTAAACCCTAAACCCTAAACCTAAACCCTAAACCTAAACCCTAAAACCCTCGACCCTAAACCTAACTAAACCCTAACCCTGACCCCTCTCACAAGGCTGCAAGGCTCTGACTGTTTTTGCCGGACTGTCTGTTCCGTGCTTGTCTGCCTGGCTTTCAGTCAGGCCTGCTCTGGGCGGCCTGACTGGCAGCCTTGTCTGAACAGGTAAGGGAGCCGGCCACTAGCTGACTGTCTGTCCTGGGGGCTGAAAAACGTGCCTTAAAGGCTTCAGGATCTCTCTTTCTGCCTGTGACCGGCTGTGACCGGCTGTAGTCCCTTGTCACTGGCTGACTGACTGCCTGACTATGTCAGGGCCTGAAGCACAGCAACAACCACGAAAACGGGGGCCCGGCCTGCCTCAAGCGAGCCCCCCAGTCTGTCACCCTCACGGCCAGCCTGTCTGCCCTGCTTCCAGTAGGTAAAAGACAGGAATGTCACTGGGCATGGTCTCCTTCAACTCCTGAAGCTGCCTGTCACGAACTACAGTGTCCTGGCTGGAGGGACTCTGAAACAGCTTCTTAGGAGTGGGTGTCTGAAAGCTGGAGGGGCGCTTCAGACCCCTCTCTCTGCTCAGCTCAGGAGTCTCAAGCTCCTGTGAGGGCTGCGACCTCACTGCTGGGCTGATGTGAGGTTTCTTGCGAGGCTGCGAACTCTGTCTTGCTGAAGGCTGCGAGCTGTCTGCAAGACTCTCTCTCTCGAGATCGGGCACCTCTCTCTTGCGAGGCTGCGAACTCCGTGTTTGCGACGGCTGCGAGCTCTCTGCAGGACTCTCTCTCTCCAAGTCCGCCACCTCTGTGCCTTCTGCCCCCAGCCTGGCAGCAAGCTCTCTTCTTGTGACCAGAGCTGTCAGCAACTCGGTCTGCTTCACCAAGGCCTCGACGACGGCGTCTTGGCTGCTTTCGGGCTAATTAATTAGGTTGCCTCTGACTCAGACAGTGTGAGCCTCGTTGTCTGCAACCTTGGTCTGGTCGCTGGCCATGCTGCACACAGCCTGTCAATGCAGGTGGTCTTCCCTACCCTGCTTGAACTGTCATTCACTTAAACACGTCTAATCTCTCTCTGGCCTGGGTCTGCAGACCGGCTGAGTCAGGCTTAAGCCCAGGCTTGGCTGCAGAGCCAGCATGCTACAATAAGGACGGGCTGGTTTCTCGGACAAACGATAAGAACCCCACTAATACTAAAACCCTTCGGGGGTTTTTATACAAGGGGGGGGGGGGGCCTGTTATATTAGGGGGAACGGATTAATCTCCTCCCCACTTGTGAAGCCCTCAAAAGAGGTAGGGGCTTTATGGTCAGTATGCCAGAAGGAATCCCAGTACAATCAAGCCGCTAGTCTTTAGATGGAACCCGATATTGCACTCACCAGTAACAATAATGTAGACCTTGCCTCTCAAACGTTTGGCGGGTCTTCAATACTAGTGGTGGCGGAGGACTGTATATCTATTGTGGCTTCAGGCATTGCTGTTGGAGACGCTGGTACGGTAAGCACTGAACTAACGAGAGATAATGCTCCACCTGCGCCATCAGA